ATTTAGGTGGCTTTCATTACCGGTACCATTGTCTTGCATGAATGTTAAAAATGTTTGACGCTTTCATGTATGATGACATTTTAACGACACTTAACTCTCCTAACCTCCCGTGTTCATAAAACCAAATACATACAAATTTTTCTATGCAGCACGACTTCGATATAATGATACAAAACAAGGCTATCTTTTACAGTGAGCACCTTTGAGGAATGTTTACCTGGGTAGAACTCACGTGACTACTGGTATTTTAAATAATTTATTTCACGGGTGGGTTCAACAAGGGTCATACAGGTAAATAGCTCTCGCTTGCTATAGGAAAAACATTGAACTTTTCATGCATTTTTAATTTTTTGAGTACAAGCCTAATCTTGTACAAATTTCCTATTTCACACAAGTTTTATAAATGTATAATGCGTCTTTTGTCATTCGCACAAGTTTGTACAACGTTAGGCTGACAGTAAACAAAAGCTTTGAAATGAATGACCGTCCTCGATTTACTTTAGAAAATTGTATGGCTTTGCTCTTTGTATATTCTTGAATTTCACCGATAAAATTTGTTGAATCTTATGGTTTAAATATCAATTAATGATTTGAGATGAAAAATTATTCTTAATTTGATTCTTCATTTTTTCACATTTTACAGGGACCCATAAGTGCACTCGTTCTTTGCGTACATGTATTTTTTGGGGAGGAGGGCACTCTGTTATATACAGTAAAGCTAACATTCCAATGTGTGAATCTTAATCAACCCTTAGCTTCTGTACCCAACCAAATCAATGAGATTGTTGTATGTGTCTTGTGAGTTAGCTCCCTTGACCTAGTTGATATGTTGTCAGCTGCATGCTAGGCTGAAAACTTACTATAAAGTTCCTTTTTCACAAAAATACTCAAGAAAATTAGTAGTGCCAAAACTGATGTAACTATCCTGTATTTCTTGAAGTTAGAATGCTTTTATGAGACTGACTTGAGATTTATCATATTAAGAAGTCAATGGTCTAATGGTTCAAGACTCCCTCTCTCAGATTGTCAATCTTTTATTTAAATATTGCAGTACTATATATACATTCAAGCAACACTACATTTTGTCATCCAGCAAGTCACACAAACTTTATTCCATGCAAGTTGAATAGTGTTTTTTTTACCCAAGCACAGGTACATGTACCAAGCACCTGTTCTCAAGTATGGCACAACAAAAATTCAAAATGTCTTGTAAAAAATTCTGGAGCAGACTCTCCTGCCATTTAATAAAGAAGTTGACATTATTTGTCACAGAGAAATTTTATTTAGTAAAATAAATATCAAGACAGCTAATACAACAATTTATGGACATTAATGTCTCTGACAGTTCACTATATTGTTGTTTAATGATAAGGGAAAATGAGAAAGTTTTTCATCTCACAAGAAAATCACCCTGACTTTTGCAGAGATGTCTAGAAGGGATTCAAAATTTATTTGCCTTTATCATTATTCAGCTTAAAAATGTTAAAGGGGGGGGGGGGCATAAAAATTGTCATAATGAAATAGGGTAACTCTCCTTGGGTGAGTTTTCTTGCTAGTTCATGATATATAGTCCAAACCTAACAAAGCTTTAGGTAAAATACTCTGAGGGGGAAGAGAAATGCCAGCCTCTGAACAAACTTTATTCTCTGCTTGTTCATGTCAGAATAGTAAAAGAATTCTTTTCACTTGCAAATAGTCCAAAAGTACTGGCTTCTATTTACCAACATTGCCCTGAAATCTTCAACTACACTAGGTACATGTGTCATTTATTCCAAGTTATTTAACATGATATGCCAAAATTTTACTGGTGGACAGCCATAATGTGAGGGTATTTCAAACCAGGGTTAAATTTGAATAAGAGAAAATTTGAAAAGATTGATGTAATGCTACATATCAAATAACAATTCTTATTTTCTTCTCTGCAAATAATGAACTACGAATTTTGTCTTTTTCAGTCACCAGGAATTGAAGGCCGCCATGACTACATTTCTCCAGTTAAATTACGCAACAGACCACGCCCTAGCACTAGTGATGTAAGTACATACTAGTGATGTAAGTACATATAAATACTGGTACCCAGCAGACCACACCCCAGTACTAGGTAATGTAAGTACATATTAATACTGGTGCCCAGCAGAAGTAATTTATTATAAACATACATTTACTGGTACCTATCATAAATAATGTAAGTATACATAAACTCGTACTCATCTTAAATAATGTGAATACTCATAAACTGGTACCCATCTTTCATAATGTTTCAAGTGAACTTATTCTGGTACCAAGCAGAAGTATTGTGAGTACACTTGGACTGGTACCCATATTGACTAATGTGAATACACATGAACTGATATCCAACTAAATAATGTGATTATATCTATGCTAGAACATAAGTGTCACAGTCCCAGATATTAGCACCAAATTCACTTTCTGGCTTATAATAATGATTCACATTTTCTTTGCCATGTTTTTGACTGCAAAGCAATTCATTATAACATGTCAAACAAGGCTTTTTTTTGCGTCCCAAATTGACCTTCTAGGAATATTTGTATTAGTACAATATTGATTGTAAGGATGGGAGATAATTTGTCCTCATTTTTGGTGTTTTTCTACAAATATAGCAATTTTTATCGCTCCTTATAATTATTTTGCTATAAGGGCTAAGTAATATATTATTACAGGAATTTTTAAAATTTTAAATTAGTAACCCAATGTGGCTACATTCTTTCACCAAAGACCTTGTGTGTATTCATGTGGCCTACACTTCCTGATAGGGCACCAGATTAGTATCCTTGTTTGGTCTCTTGTACGTTTTGAAGGGTGGTACTTCAGAAACTGATGGCAGTTTGAACATCTGACCTTGACTGTGGAATGTTCTATGTGTATCACATGTACTTAGTCTTGTTTCCTGTTGTTTAGAAATGATGCAGGAAACACTAGAACACAGAGATACAAACATTTGTGAATTTATCATTTTAATTAAAACAGGAAGTATATGGAAAACAAAAACTAATTAATGGGATACTATTAATTAACCAAAACTTTGTCTATTTTTAAAACTTTATCTACTTGTTTACAAACTTTCTTTCAATAATGAACTGATGCATGAATAATTCATAAACACACGAGATTCTATAATGTAATTTTGATATATGATTGAACTACATACATGTTTTACAATTGCCAAGCACCTCATCTTAAATAAAAGTTTCAAAGTTGATTTCTTATTCTTAATGCACGTTTTAGATAAATTTGACTTTGAATTTTCATACAAAAATAGTTATTCAGAATTGTTGTTTTTTTTTTTTTAAGTAACAAATTGAAGTTCTGAATATATGTCCAGATAGAGCTAGGTCAAATGCATTTGAAGTTTTCACACTAAAATTTTGAAAAAGGACAAAGAATATGAAATCTCTTCCAGAGGGAGTCATATATTATCTGTAAAACTGAGAGTATATATATCTGATTAAATGAATAGCTTAGGTATCTTTTAATTCAAAACATGTCATTGAAATATCCTAAGTGCGATCTTAAATGACAATTAGTCTGTATACTTATGCCTTGATATATTATAAATAGTTACTATGTATCTGCTAGGTAATTATTGTTTTGTAGGTATAATTGATATTTAGTTTAATATCACTGTAACACATATTGATGTAGGCATAGGTGTTATGGTTTATCACTCAGTGATATTAATTAAGGATCTCATCTCTGCCTGACCAACTTAGAAAAATCTCAATTAAATCACTGATTTATATTGTAAGGGTGGAGGCATTACAGTGAAGAAATTGTCTTTTATTTATGGGTGGAGCAATACAGGAGATTTAAACTTCCGTAAAGCATGAAGTTCCTCAATAATCTTTATCCTTTGAGTGTTTGAAGGCTATAAGCAAAAGCTTCTGATCTAGGGAAGAGCTGACGCCACTCAGATGTAAATTCAATTCTGAGTAAGATTAAGAAAAATGAAACACTCACAAAGGAAAACTACTCACAAATTATCCTCGTTATGTAAATGCTTGTTCTGGAGGTCAGAGAAATGACCTTTTAATTCAGTCAAGGTCATGCCTTCTGAACCATCTGATTTGAAAAACACATTGCCCATTGAAATCCTTCAAGAGAAGTTTTGTGTAAGTTGTTTAAAAAGAATTTAGGAGCCACATGTTGTATTATTTTCATCAAGTTTTATTGGGCCTGTTGTCTAGAGAAAGGAGGAAAAAAAGTTTTGTGTCGTTGAATTCTCACAAACCTGTTTGAAGTTTGTCAGCGCACATTAACACTGCATATTGTGCATGCAATCTGACAGATATTGAAACTGACAGGAAAGAAAACTTTCCATCTGGAAAACAAAAAATAGAAATAGTTTTCTCATATGCTTAGTAGCATTTTCTTGCAGTTTCATGCAGTGTCACACTTGTGAAGTGTTGATTTAATCAAATAGAATTTTCTCAGTTTTTTTACTTAATAGTTTTACAGAGGAATATTGGTGACATTGAGTAATGCACCGAAACACATACGGGTCTTGGTTATAGTGCGATAATCAGGGCCTGTCCAAAGTAGGCGGGGACATTCATGTAGATGTCAACAAAACTGTTTTTGCTGCTGTTCATTATATCAAGGATCAGGAATATGACGAAGGAGAGCAAGGTTTTAAGATATCATTAGGATTGGGTCTAATTAAGACTTGGGTTATTAACATGGACAAATGACGCCAAATCATGAACGCAGTTCCTGAAAAAGTCAGGATTCTACTTTTTGAGCTGACGTCTGTTTCTGACATCTTGGAAGTCTTCGTTTAGATATCTGTGACTGACAGATGTTTATTTTGTCGTCAGTGTACAGGTTATTAAACTCCATACCTAAGTCATCAGGTGACCAGTATGTATATTAAAGGGTGGATCTCTAAGCTCCGTAATCAGTTCAGGAGTTCTGTTCCAGAATAACTGACTTCAGTGGACGGTAGGACAAGTGGTCATCTTACTTTACATTTTCTGAGACCATATGACCTTTAGGAATTGTCCAGGAATCAAGAAGTGACCGCGGTCCTCCAGCATCCAATTAAAGCAAACAGTGTGAATTGCTCCAGGAACTATTGGGAATAGGGTCAGCATCTTTGACATCCTGTGTGAAAGCACCTGTTACTATTAGGATTGACAGTATCTTGCAGAAACAGTTGAATTGGGTAAAGACAGTATTGTATTCCATATGATCTATTCTTCATTCAGGAAACAAAATTAATTTCTACACTTGATTTTAGTGCAGTGTAAGGGTGATTGAACTATGTACAAGTGCTAATTTAAATTATTGGAATAAAAATTATCCCAGATTTCCATTCTCTGCTGTGGATATAATTACATCTACATGTTTAGCAGGTGGCAATATCGTGAGTAATTACGTTGGAGGAAAGGTTGGTCTTTTTTTCTGCTACAGATGCTGATGACAAGAATTTCGTTGTCAGGTTGATCTATAAACGGAGACACATCATTGTTAGTGGAATTCTCACAGGAACTGACCTATTATAACAATACTACAGATACCTGAAGACTTGCTAATTGTCTAGGAAACCTTGGGAATCAGCTTAGAACCTGCTTATTGGAGACTTGGTGTTTGTGGAAAAGATTTAAGCACTGATATTGGTTTTTGTGAAATTTCAGCAATGAAAGACATATTCTGAATTGGTTTTGAAAAGAGATCTACAAGAAGACATTTTCACAGAAATTCTCTACAAAGAATTTTATAATTTGTCCTTGGTGTGCTGGTAGGGAGGACATTTTTGCTTCCTAGGGGGTACTATTGTGTGGTCTTACAAGCCAGTGTGAAGTCAATGTCATAAAAGTAATATGATATCAGTCCACATCTCTGGTGATGGAGAATATTCTGTGTAATAACAAGGACGTTTAGACTGCGATGCATTAAAAAAATCATCAAAAGTGATCTTCCCTTAAGCTGCATAAGCAGACAATAATAATTTAACTAAATATCAGTTCAATGCAGAGGGAATTGAGAAACTGTGATCCAAAAAAAAAAATTCACACCCATAGTGCCAATTTGTTATACAAAGAAGGCTGAGGCTTTGGCAGCAGAATTTTTTTTTTAGCTTCTTAATTCCACATCTTGCATTGGTAAACTAAATAAAATGGAAAGGATGTGTTTCTTAGCTAGACAAGAGTTTGCTATTCTTGAGTTTTAATTCTGATACAAAACACACTTTCCATGTGTTTCATAAAGTCAGAAAGAGGGCGAAAATAGAAAAAAAGGAAACTGATGTTCTTTTACTTGTTTGTTAGAAAGCTGTTTCTAACTTTAAGATTATAATAATGACTTCATTGTATTAGTCGGAATTGATGAAATATGTGTAGAGTTCCACTATGAGACTAGGGCGCTCAGAAATGCCGATTCTTCAGCAGAAATCGGGAAGTGGTAATCCAGGTGGTTCTCGGAAGAACTCACTGGTTCAGTGTTTTACTCAGGGAAACGATTCCGAGTCCGATATCGACTCGGACGAGGATGCGGAATTACAAAGAGTTCAGAAGGTACGAGCACTCTTTCGTGAGCAGTTTTTAAAATGAATTTTTTTTTTTATGAAAATCCCTTAAATTTATGAAGAACAAAAAGAAAAAAGTTTATTCAGTTTTTCTTTCTGTAAAATAGGTTTTAGCTTAATTGTCTCTGCTAGAGATAAAAATGTACTGCCTTTCATTTAATTGTCCATCAGTTAAGGTTCTACAGTTTATCAAGTTTTATATGAAGGCAAATTTCAAAGTCACAGGAGTTCACTATGCGTAATTCACAGGCATACAGAGTTTGCATGTACTTCAATTTTAAATAAAAATAAATCTTGATGGGAACTGGGAAGTCATTAGATTACATAATTAGCTATGTTTCATTCAGGTTTTGTCAGCTTGTTTTTGTTTATAAGCTGCATTTTTGGAATATCTGTGACAAGTGTGTAATATTGTTTGATGTTGGATGACTGGGGAAAAGGGGGCAGGGCATATATATTCCTTTATACACACAAAATAACCAAAACACACTGTCGATATCCTACAAAAATAGCCTTGCTCTCTGAAATAACATGTTAACAATTTGTCTGTTATGTATAATATGCACCATTCAGTGTTTCTCTGTGTTCAAGCCTGTTGGGGACTAAACCTTTTTTAGACTAGTAATGATTTGTCTACATATTCCACTGGCTAAGTATTTAGTAAAGCCAAATCTAAGTATGGTAGTAGAAGCAGCCATGATTGAGATATTATAGACACAATGTGTGTTCTTTAATAGTCGTAGTGTTTGATTCTAAGAGTAAGAATGTTTTTAAATTTCATTAATATTGAAATCATGTTGTAACACCAAATGGGTCACTCTACATCATTGGCCCTGTCTGCGTAGATCACCATGACGATACCAGTTTCTCTGAGTATACCCCCAGCATGAGCATGGATTCCTTAGAGCACTGCCATGGCCAATTTGAATCATTTAGAAGTCTCTAAGTCTACAGGATTTTTTTCTGAGCCCTACTAGTGACTTTCAAGTGTCACCGTGCCTGTTTACAACATAACTATAGGGCAGCATTGCAATTTTTCAGGAATCAATCATAATACCTTGCTTTCCCCCTCCAAATAAAATCTGAGTAGAGGTTTGACCCTGGATCTACCTTTAGTCAAGAATGTTTCTCTATTTTACAAAAAAAACTGCTGAAGAACTTTTGGCATGAACCATTTGTTAGAAGGAAGTGTCTGTGTAAACAATAGGCCAACTTCTAGGACAGATGAAGTAAACTCCCATCCTAAAGCATGCAGTAATTAACTCTACCAAGGGTCAAATATGCTTCCTTGTAAAATGCACCCCAATTCAAGTGGCACAAATTTTCTTGAATTCTTCTGATATACTGGGTAAAAATTTGTTTAATAGAAAATTATTTAAAAAATTTTTTCTAATGAATATTCTACAGAAAAAAAAGATAGGGAGACTTAAAGTATGTTGTTTCCTTGACTTTGATCATCAAATAAAAAAAAATGTATTATATAATTGAGGTTAGTAGTAAAAAAAAAAATTCTATATATATAATTATAAGATTGGTCAAATTATTGGTTGTAAATAATCTGCCTTGAACATATGCACAAAATATGGGTTGATATTAGATCTGACTCTTTACCAATATGTCATGTGACATTTCTGTATCCTACTAACAGAGCCGATAAATGCTGTTATGTAACAGAAAAAAAAACAAATCCCAGGCCTATATTTGACAGTGTACTGTGTCATATTTCATATTTCTTGGGTATCCAATACCAGAAGCAATATTCTACATAATGCTAAGGGTAGGATTATATTTATTCCTGTTTGTCACTGCTAAAATCTGGAAAAAAAATCTCCCTGCCCACTTGCAATGGCCAGTGTGGGATGACGAGTCTTTTTTTTCATTACAGGAGGTGGCCAAACGCCTGTCCTTGCCGGCAGACATGAGACTACCTGGACATTTTTTGGCTCGTCAGAGTCTCAGTCCGGAGAGCATGCTCAGTAGGCGCTCACGGAGAAAATCTCTGGTAAGTAACTAATGTTCATACAATGTTGTACATTTATTGACTGGGTCCAAGGGCAATATAGCTTTTGTTGGACCCAAGAACCAAACTGTTTGTCTGAGGTTACTAGGCAATAGTTTTCATTTATGATTCCGCAAAACACATTCTACCTAAGAATGTAGCCAATAACAGTCTTGTAAAACCTTGTACTTTGTATTAAGACGTATTTCATAACTGTAACTGTTGAACACCAATAAATGCAAATTATTAAAAGATATATGTTTGACGATGTAGAGGATTAATTTGGTCATAAAAACATCATAGACATCAAACTTCTCAAATGGTCCGATATCCCTGAACCCATCAATCGGTCCAATGATATATATTTAACTCTGTTAAAACATTGGAAATACTGGTATAAAACTTTATTTAGTATTTTGCTGCATATTTAAACAAGATATTGTTATTTAGGATTTAACATAAATTGATGAGCATCTCATACTCACAAGTTAATAGCCATTTCACAAAAATGGTTCCAAAATACCAAAATTACTGTTGCAATATTCACATTACCCTTAATATAAATTGCTAAGACAGTAATGCATGCTAATTAGTTTCATTCTAATTCCACAAATTAAAAGAGATCAAATTTGTTTAATAAATAGAAAAATATCATATAAATAAGTTATACACTGTACATGTATAAATTTTTAAAAGACAGTTTCAGAGTCACTTAAATGAAGTCCTATTAAATAGATTCAAATTTTTCCATTCACTGTTTTTGTTTTATTATAATTACAGACCTGTTTACTCTTACGATTTCGCTGTATTTTGTACGGATTTTGTGTCCAAAATACGTCTCACATTTTCCTTTAATGAAAATACGGAAATCGGAAAATCCTTTCATTTGGATTTTAGCAGCTATTTTTCGTTATGATGTCTCAGTTTGACGCTTTTTAATTGCTAAAAAAGAGAAAAATTTCTAACAACTAAGTGATTTAGGGTTGCCAAAACGCAGTGGTTTAAAAATGACAGAAACCCCTCGAAAGAAAGAAAGGATTATCTTTTTCTTTGTTATTAGACCATGTTTAATTTTGTTAATCAGAAATATAGTCGTTCTCTAGTAATATATGTACAATCGATGAAAAGTGAAATCTTAAGGGGAAATGCCAAATCTCACTGACAAATCTAATAAAAAATACTGAGAGACAACAATATGGGTAAACAGGTCTGTAATTAATAAAAGACTTCCATTCCTTATGGAAGAATGTTGTCTCAAATGAGAATTATATATTACGCAGTAGGTATTTAGAATGGCTAAGGAGTTTGTTTTAAAATCCTCCACCTAGATTTTGAAATGAAAAAAATAAAATGATGCTGCAGTAAATCTTTTAACTCTCCAGAGTTTTATTTTATTCAATTTAAGGCTAGATTTCCACTTCTCAACACCCATTAGAAGATATTACATGTGTTATGTCAAATTTTACTTTTTCCATGCTGTTATTTGCATGAAGTCAATGTAATAACTGCAGAGAAAAGTCCTGCAATATCTTATACCAGCTCAATGCTCTTACTGGGAGTCATAATCTCATAGATTGTCTGACATATTGATTCCGTGAGTTGACGAACAGTAAGAGTCTGATTGTCTGTCTGTTTATGTAGGTCATTAGACCAATCTGTCAAAGGGGGAAAACAGAATCATTATCAAAATCAGGTTATTGAAGAACAAGTCAACAGACTTGTTTGTCTTTATCAGTAAATTGCGTCTGGTGTTTAAGGTCAACCCAATTATGGAGAAAAAAATTAACCTATTTTTGTCAGAAAGAAAATGATATGAAATAGAAAAACAACTTCAATGTAGTTGTTATACCATATATAACAAGGACATTTTTGGTGTTTTATCAGTTAATATATTTTTTTATAGACAGTTAACTCTTTAAAACAATTCTTTAAAAAATACTTCCATTTTTTAATTATGACACTGGCACAAAAAAGATCCATCACTGCTCAATGGCCCTGAGTGCCGAGTATAGGTCAAAATTTTCAGCCCTCCATCGGCAAGTGGAGGCATCTCCATATGAGTGAAAATTCTTGAGAGGGACGTTAAACAACAAACAAACAAACAAAACTTGCAAACGACATTATATTATTTAAATTAGGAGGCTTTGAATGTATTATATAGAGAATTTCACTGTTCAAATCCCGCTGTACTTTAAATCAACTTAAGATGTTACAGGAAAATTTTATCTGGAGAAAAAAATTGCAAAGAGTTCTGGAATTTCACCACGGAATTAACTATCTGACATAATCAGAGATTTATATCTACAAGGTCACAAACATGACAAGTTCAAGGTCACATTCATCTTTCATAGAATATAGATATAAATGTGAGAAATAAATTTTAAATATGGGGGTAGCAAATGGAGGCTGCACTCTTTCATACCCAAGTCACAAGAATGCCGAAGTCAGACAGATTTATTATCCTCTCTCCTTGACAATTGCCAACCCAGAAAATTTTGAACTATTGCATATGTCCCATGATTAAAGAAAGTTACATTTTTTGTTTTTTAATATTTTTTTTGGGAGGGGGGGGGGGGGGGTCTTATATTCTGTATCATAGTCTTAATTTTTAATAGGTTGGACGCCCAATACCAGTACTGCGTATACATGTAGTAGCCCTCTCCTTGGGCCTCTTCCTTACTTCAAACAGCACAGACACTGATACCCTCGTTTAATATACTCAAGTTTAATTAGTAATAAAGGAGATTCTATTTATAACAAGACAGAGACAATGATTTATTTAACTAGTCAGGTGTCAGACAAAGTCAAAAGTACAAAAAAAAGATGGAGAAAGCCCAGAAATACATAGAAACGTTCCGCTCAATTTCCTCTGCGAGCTAAGACGGCCAACATCTCTGATATAACTGTTCACTCACTTAAAGATGAAGCTCACTTAAGGTGCTTCAGAATTTCAAACAATTCATTTGTCTTAAATTGATATATGTGATTTAAACTTAAATGATAAAAAGTGTAAGTTTATATTCTGATTAAAGTTCAGCTGTTTCAAGTGAGAATCTGGCATTAAGAAATCTTAGAATCCAGTGCATCCATGTGTAGCTAATTTTTTATCTATCGAGACAACAGAATTTAAAATGCAAAAATCTGAAGAAATATTTAATACAGAACATCTCCTTGGATGTCTGTGTGCTTTTCATAAATAGTAATTATTGCAATATAATAAGGGAAAAAAAATGAAGATTTGGACATTCTAAAATGTTAAATTAGAAGATTTGCTAAGATCTCTACGTTCCTTCAAAAATAAAATTTAAAGACAGGATGACTTCAAAATTTGCTCAGAAATTGGACACTACATGTCTGTGTAGATGCTCTGTTCACATTTAAAAGGATATTAAGTTTTTTTCTGAATCTCTTTCTCATGCTACAAATTGTGAACTGCTTCAACTAAAAACAAAAATCAATAACAGATTATTAGATTACATGTGCGTTTTATTTATCTTAATTTGATTTACACAATGGCTTTTCATTGCAGTCTGAAATTGGTTTCGGGAAGATAGAATCGTATACCAAGCTAGATAAACTAGGAGAGGTAAGTAACCAAAGGAAGATAACTGTGTAAACCTCCGTACTTATAGGACTCGTGCTTTGGATGGTCTAAACTATTAACTTTGTCACAATATCACATGATGAATTTGTAATAAAGCATTGAATCATTGTAAGTAGAATCTGATGGCATTTATGTAGGGTTTCTCTGATTGTTACTATACCAACAACACAGGAAATAATGTATGTGTTCTTATTTATCCTACTTTAAATATACTTAAAACAATTAGAGACATGAACTAATTCATACAATGATAAACTAGTGCTATTGGTGTTCTATACCCTGTATATGTATATAGAGGGAGAAGGAAATTCATATTTCCTTTAGTACTTGAATTAGTCCAGTATGGACATTGTAAAAGACAACAAAATATGAATCCTCTTAATATAAGAACACAATGGTTTCATACTTCCCATCTTTGTTTGAATGTATACATGTATTCTACTAAGCCTTAACAGCAACCCCAACCCGCAAAACCATTTGTTCAATATGTCTGTATGAACAGGGCAGTAGGTTAATCTGTAGAATTTCTACCATGTGTTGAGTGACTGATGTATGTCTCAGATATGTTGTTATTACTTTGCACTGCATTTCAGGGTACCTACGCCACTGTGTTCAAAGGAAAAAGTCGACTAACAGACAATTTGGTTGCTCTAAAAGAAATCCGCTTGGAGCATGAGGAGGGCGCTCCCTGTACAGCCATAAGGGAAGGTAAGGGCACTACCCGGTAGTTAAGTCACATGGTACCTTGGGAAGCACTTGTCAATTCACATGGTACCTTGGGAAGCACTTGTCAAGTCACATGGTACCATGGGAAGCACTTGTCAAGTCACATGGTACCTTGGGAAGCACTTGTCAAGTCACATGGTACCATGGGAAGCACTTGTCAAGTCACATGGTACCTTGGGAAGCACTTGTCAAGTCACATGGTATCTTGGGAAGCACTTGTCAAGTCACATGGTACCTCAGGCCAACAATTATGATCTATGTTACCAAAGGTCACCAGTTTCTTTGCAGGTAAGGCAACAAGACAAATTACTTGTTACTGTGGGTTAGGTGGTATAGTTAAAGCAACAAGACAAGTCATATCGCACCAGTCAAAATTTAAATCAATTAAAATTCAGATAATTTGTAACTTTTCATTAAGTTTAATTGATAAGAGTTGATTAGTAATTGTGGTATATTTTAGGCCTGTGTTGTTGATGTACTATAATATAAAAATATACATTTAGCCAATTATGTTTTTTTCCAGTTTCATTACTCAGGGAGCTCAAACATGCCAATATCGTAACCCTACATGACATCATCCACACAGACAAGTCTCTCACTCTAGTCTTTGAATATCTGGTGAGAGCCACCTTAAGTTTTTTTTGATAGTAAAGATAAATTACAGATGACTTTTAACAGAGAAAGGAATAATGTGTAATCTCCCTCATGATCTTATTTCTAAATAAAGGAGCAGATTTTTTTGTTTTACCTAACTTTGCATTCAATGAGAAAATATTTTGTACAATTTAAAATTTAATGCTATTTACAAAATTAAGTTATCTCCATTATTATTTCATTTTCAGGAAAAGGATCTCAAACAATACATGGATGACTGCGGTAATATCATGAGTATGACCAACGTCAAGGTACGCGTAGTCAGCACCCATCACAGAGATTTATAATGTCAAACTTTAAATGAACTCGGGAAAGTCTCTCAAAATAGCTTGTTAAAAATGTTAAAGATTTGGAAGTTGGGTGTGAAATTCATAATAAGGTCAAAAGGACCAATCTCTTTAACATGTCTGTGGTGTTTGACAGGATGTTCCAGACACTAAAGTTCAAACATATTTTAGTTACTGTTAACTTTTAATACATACATGTAAACATAAAAGTATTTTTATAACAAACAATTTTAACATGCTGAAGATTTTAAACTTTAAAGTTGAAATCAGAACAGTGTGTTTATTCATTGTTTAAGTCCTGAAATGTTAAACATGGTACTACTGTATGGGTGAGTTTTTAATCTTATCTCCTGTATTACAGATATTTTTATTTCAACTCCTGCGAGGCTTAGCCTATTGCCATAAAAGGCAGGTCCTTCATCGTGACTTGAAACCACAAAACTTACTCATTAATGAACGAGGCGAGCTCAAGCTTGCTGATTTTGGTAAGTTTTAAACAAACTTCACTTTTTTCAGGAATATACCAAAGGGAGCTTATTTGATGGGATATAACTTCTCTAAAGAAAGATTATGATAGATAATTCTTTGGTCTTTGAGTACCCAGATCATAGAGAACGGACTGTGAGTCTGTAGAGGTCAAAGAGAAAAGATTATTTTATTAAAAAACAAGCTTATTTGTTCATTTAAGGACATATGCAACGTACCTTACCTACTGGTAATTTCAAGATATTCTTAATTTAAGATTATAGTACCATCAGATGTTCGTAGACAAAAAATCAGCATGTATTACCAGGGGTTTTGAAAAGACATCAGTTGATGAAAATTCTTGTCCTTAAGTGTAGAAGTGATGTATAAACAAATTAAAATCTTAAGTCACCTGTTCTTTTTTCCCACTGGAAGCTATGCTGTTTATCAAAGGAAAGGTAAAAAAAGTGTTAAAAAAAGCTGTTGGAGTTTTTCATTACTATTTTCTGAATTTTTGATTGGAATTCTTATGTTATAGCTTTCTTGATAGTTAAACTGGAGTTGCAATGTATGCATGAATTGCATATCCAATTAGACATATTTATATTTCCAATTATTTTCCCTTAAGATTCTCAACAAATAAAAAAAAACAGTTCATTTTTTCATGATCTGACATGGATTAGCATGAATTTCTTCATTATGATGTCATGTCCTACTTGACGTCAAATATACAGTGCCATATTTTTCTTTTCAAAATTGACAGTTGAGTGATATATTTTGTGTCAAATCACCAGATAAATAATGTAAATATAAGATATGAATTTAATATTTAATAATTTGTGAGGTACATGAATTACAATGCTTTATGCCTCCATATTTATCATGAAGCACTAATGCACTTCATGAAATATGCGGTTTGAAGTATCATAGTTTATGCCCTAAGAAATTATCAACAATTAAATTCATTTCTCAAATGTACCATATTTGCAAGGCTAAAAGTTCGTGACAAATTTGAGGTGCTCAGTTAAAGATAATTTTAAATGTTTCATTGTGGGGAAAAGGGGTTGCAATTATTTGTATTATAATTACCAGAAAGTGAATTTCGTTAGAGTGTGAATTTTTTCAAATTGAATCGACAATTTATTTAGAATGATATGGTACATTATGTTTTAAATATTTCAATTTAATGATTTGATTTGAAAGTATATATTGCAATCAAATTTTCCTGTAAACCACCACATTGCTACAAAGCAGTATGAATTGATGAAAACATTACATGAGATATTCTGAATTTAATAGTGTTTTGAATTCTCACAATACAAACCTAACAATGGTATGCTAATCCCAGCAGAAGTGACCCCAAAAATGAAGATATCTGAAAGTGTATAGTATTTAAGATGAGACTAGATTTTATGATATTCTTGGGACTTTAGACAGACAAAGCCCTGGTTTTTAATATGTACCTGTGTTTAAGATAAAGATTTATCTGGGCCATAAAACTTAGATGAGTTCACTTTTGATCTCACTCTCACTTTTACACAATACATTCCTATTGTAAAATTGAGACTGAGATCTCGTCTAAGTCTTATGGCCCCGGAGCCTGGCCCTTACTTATTTATTTACTTATGTCATTATTTTGAGAATTCTTGTTGATTTCAATAATACAATTTCAAAGACTGGGGAACATTCTATGACAGTAATTTCTTGGGTACCTTTTCCCGACAATCGTATTAATCTGTCACTCTCTGTGTTATAGGATTAGCTAGAGCGAAATCTATACCAACCAAGACGTACTCTAATGAAGTAGTCACATTATGGTAAGATCATTTTTTCCATTGCAAATAACTGTTGAAAGAAGTGTTAAACTGTTCCAGAAAATAATTTTTTTTAAAAATTGCTTCTAAAAAATATGCAGTAGAGCATTGTAAATTGGAATGCTGGTGTTCACGAGCAAATTGTCCAGATTAATGAGGCATCCAGATTAATTAAGTGTACCTTTTTAGAAGTGGTGGTACATTGTAGATATAAATATAAATTCTGATACCCATATATTTCATCCAGAATATGATGAGTCTGGTTTACCAAGGTTCTACTGTAGTTTTTCTAAAAAGAATATAATTATAGATGTGCACTCAAATTTTTTGGACTTGTTAATTTGGGTTACTCAATTTGTATGCAGACCTTTATTACATATTGCACTGTGAAATGCCCAAAATAGCCATTCACTGCAGAAATAAGTAAGACTGTTTGTATTCTGTAGGTACCGTCCACCTGATGTTTTACTTGGGTCCACCGAATATTCTACCCAGATAGACATGTGGTAAGCAGTGTTTGTAGATCAAAAAATTTAATCCTTTTTACTAGCATTGCCTTAAAATTATATGATGCGAGAGTGTGACCAGGGATGCTTTATTAAGTTGAACTTGTAGTTACACTGTATGCAACTGTAGACTTGGCAATTTTTGCTTCTGTCTCATGTTTGTTCTTGTCACCCTTATCCTTCATTAGTATTTCACAGTGGGCAACTTGAACTTACACAGCATGAATAACTGTCAAATAAAAAACTTTTTTAGGGCAAATTTGAAACAAGCTAGATATCTTCAAAGGAGGGAAAAAGTAAGATGGGGTAAAAATTTCCATGTAATTAATATTTCTAAGCAGTATTTTGAAATCATGAAATGGGCATCACAAATTTTAGATATCAAACAAATGAAATGTTAGCTATTTTCAAATAAAGTCATCCTGGTACGTGTAAGAGGATTCCAATTACAGTCATTGTCTCACACTTGTGTATTTTGTATGTTGTACGAGTGAGGGGTGTAATTTCTACTAGATGGCCCTTGACCCTCCTCAGTATATGTTGTAGGGTGTGGGTGTATTTTCTATGAGATGGGCTGTGACCCCCCCAACCTCCCCCCACCCCCACCCCACCCCGTTCTCTGGCTCTATACCTGTGTATTGTTTGTTATAGAGGTGTATGTTCTATGAGATGACATGTTGTCACTACCTTTTCCCCTGCTTTATACCTGTGTATTGTTTATGTTATAGGGGCGTGGGGTGTATGTTCTATGAGATGGCCTGTGGTCGCCCCCTGTTCCCCTGCTTTATACCTGTGTATTGTTTATGTTAAAGGGGTGTGGGGTGTATTTCCTACGAGATGACCTGTGGTCACTACCTTTTCCCCTGCTTTATACCTGTGTATTATTTATGTTATAGGGGTGTGGGGTGTATTTTCTACGAGATGGCCTGTGGTCGCCCCCTGTTCCCCGGCTCAACAGTCGAGGATGAACTCCACTACATCTTCAAGATTCTGGGGACTCCAACGGAGGAGAATTTCCCCGGAATCTCTAAAAATGAAGAGTTCCAATCTTATAATTTCTCCCAGTATGAATCCGAAAACCTTATCAATGTTGCTCCAAGGTATGTTAACTATATCATTGTTCTGAAAGGGAATTCATTTGCATTGATAACAATTTTTTCCAGAATTGTTATAAAATTGTTATGAATTTTTTAATGTAAAATAATCTCTATCTTTTTTTTTATTTTTAATTTTCATTAGTTTTGATAATTGATTCTAAATATTTTTCTTTGTTTATGATTGGAAAGATAGATCTTGTATATGGTAAACATTTTGTTTACACAGGCTAGATGGTGAGGGATTAGATTTACTATCAAAACTGCTTCTGGTAAGTTGGAATATATCTGAACTAAGAAATAAATCACTTAATAAGCACAGACAAAATCGATAATATCTATTTCTTGTTGATTGCATTAGTTGTTGTGCAGAAGAAACAAGTCCGAGTAGGGTTAATTGCAAAAACAAACAGAAGAAAAACATTTATGAGTGCAGAAATTATGAAATTATAGAAGGATAAAGACTTAACTATTGTCATCCTATGCTGACATGTTGGTTGACAATGGTTTTCTCTTGGGATGTCAATTTCTAATCTACTGCTACCCTAAACATGCACTGTTTATATAATATTTTACTTTAATGTAAATATATTAAGTTGAATCTGATTTGTCAAGAAACATTTGATTAAAAAATACTGTTACCCTCAGCAGTAGTCAACATTACATGACAATGAATGATATTCCAAAAGATGTTGAGTGTGTGGAATGTATACACTTACAGGTCACTGTTATATGTATTATTACAAAATATAATAAATATTGCATATTGTGACATTGAAAATTTTCACCGCTCAAACACCATCATCACCTCGGCTGCGTCTCCATTTTCAATGGTTTTCTTGGGGTGAAAATTTTTAATGTCACTGTCTACTCCATGCAATATTTAAATAATGTCTGATGATCTAGAGGAGGATTTATTTCTGTACTCACCATTAATGACTGATAATGTATCTGTGGTGTTTTCTTTTAGTACGAGGCTAAGAAAAGATCTTCTGCTGCTGAAGGAATGAGACACGCCTTCTTCAACAGTTTCGGACCAAGTGTTCACAGACTGCCCGACAGTACGTATCTCTAAACATAATCATAGACTGCCCGACAGTACGTATCTCTATACATTATCATAGACTGCCCGACAGTACGTATCTCTATACATTATCATAGACTGCCCGACAGTACGTATCTCTAAACATAATCATAGACTGCCCGACAGTACGTATCTCTAAACATAATCATAGACTGCCCGACAGTACGTATCTCTAAACATAATCATAGACTGCCCGACAGTACAGATCTCTATACATTATCATAGACTACCTGACAGTATGTATCTATACATAACCACAGACTGCCCAACATTGGGTGTCTCTATGCAAAGTTCTGAGACTTCTTGACTGTATGCATCTCAATACATAATCACAGACTTCCAGACAGTTTCTCAATCAGAAAATAACCAAGTGTTCACAGATTGCCAAATAGTATGTATCTCAATTGAACTCATGGCCCTTTGGAAATTCATTGATTCCACTCTTCAATTTTCTTAACAGATCTTCAGTTTCCCTTCCTAAATTTCTGAAATAAGGAAATCATCAAAATTTCAAATTCAAAAGTTGGATATTTGTTATTTTTGAAAACACATGGTTGTTTTCCTCTCTGTAATTGTGTGAGTTGGGGGGGGGGGGGGGGTATATATGGCCTTCATAGAATGAAGCACCAAGGTGACCTTTACATGGAAATCGTTCACACTTATTTCTTGATTACCTCCAAAGGCTTGTTATTGGTTTGGGTCAGACTAATTAACAATATTGCCACAGTTTTCTCCTACTTATCCACACTTGATGCCAGAGTTCAGCAACACATTATGTAAAAGAAAAAATGTGATAATGTGACCAGAAATACATCCCCAGCACTAAGTACTAAAAAAACAAACATATTACCTGGAAAAATTACATCTCATGGTCAGTTCTGAGTGTTAATGTGGCACAGCAATATTGAAACCCAAATTTCCCAAGGGCACAGTGATATAAAAAAAAACAAGAAAATTGTTTGTGTCATTGCTCTACTAAAGTGCTTTTTGCAGTTCATTTTGTGGCCTTGTATCTATTTGATTTCTTTGAATCTTAAGGACATCCAGTGTATAGATATATTTATAGCCTTTATATACTTCTATTTTTAGCTGTCTCCATTTTTACTGTACCCGGTATTATTTTACATAAAGATCCAGGAATGAGGTCTTCTTCCCTGGCTAATTCAGGTATGTTACCATGGCGACTGAAAAATAAAATCCACTCCAAATATAAATCAATTTTTTTCAACAGTAATGATAAACTCTTCTTATAGTGATGACATACTGTTCTTCTTAACTATATTTTTTGACTTCTTAATGTGAAACTAAGTTAATGTTTCTAGTTATTATCACGATTTTTTTTAGGGAAAATTCGTCGCCAGAGTATGTTGTTTTAAGTTGGAAGGAACTATGAAAACCAGACAGTAGCAGTGGTGTTGTAGTGGAGACAGTCATGTGATCACCTTGTGATAAATTCTTAGCTGTTTATTGTTGTGACCTTGTCAGTGTGATAAAGATCACCATAGTAACCAATAACCCTGTGGTCATGTGATGACATATTTACCCAGAAACACCTATACTGTAGAATGAATGGCACTGAGTAAGGAGAGATCTGATTGGTCAGTGGTACAAAACTTTTATCCAGTCAGATTGGCTTTTTTAAAAGGGAATATGGAATTGAGATCTAGAATTCAGCACAGCATATCACAGATATTACTTAGCAACAGGAATATTAGTCTAATTCCTGAATAGAGGTCTCACATTTTGTAGTTTAGATTTTTATGGATGATTCACTCATATGTTGCTTCACAGTTTTGTGACTTGTGTATAAAGTATGTCTAAGAAGCAGGTTTTTCATTTTACTTTCATCATCTGAGACTGGACCATACCTCATTCAGTGTATCAACCTCACCAGAATTCTGAAATCAGGATTTTTATTGCTGTTCTTAGACCAATTGAATGTTCTTCGAGGCTATTCTTAAGATATGTTTGTTCACCAAATACTCCATGCAGAGAAAATTCTGATATTACCTTAATACAGTATCTCTAGTAAAAAAAAAAAAAGAAAAGATGTTACCTTTAGTACTGGATACTGCAAAAAAGGGAGTGACAGAAAGAAGCTTCTTTTTTTTTAATTTTAATTCCATGCATGATGTCTGAGAAATTTTTAATATTGATATTCAGATTTTTGTTACAGAAGAATAATTTTGAAGTTGCCTGTTCATGGTATAGTGTGTATCATGGTGTATAGTGATTTTTTGATGGTGCATATCTTTGATTGTGATCCGTTCTATTTGTAGGACTATGTCAGTGTGCTTGAAGGTTGACATATTTTGATGATGTGAAAGCTAACAAACTGAAAAGAATAGTCAGGTCTGAAAGTTAGATTTAACAATGCCAATTTCATTCAGATATTATGATTTATATTATATGAAACTAAAGGAGAAAATCTAAAATAAAAAATAGAAAAAATAAAAATAATTCTTTTTGATACCAGAAAGGAAAATTAATCTTTTAAGGAATCTCTTATATTTGTTTATGATAGTCAGGGTAAAGATATGAAAGTGTTCATTCATTAAGAAACCAAAAATGGAAACTGAGTTGAGGAAATATATCCTTATTATAACCCTGATCACATTCTTTGACGGCGAGGAGGGGGTGGGGGACTCTTTAAAGCTTGGGCTGGATGTTCAAGGGTTCAGGGAGTTACTGATGGTTGTTGAATTTATTAAAAGACTCCAGTCATAATTTTATTTTTAGGGAGAGGGCTAAAGTAGGCTATGCCTGCTGCCTAAACCCATTCACTTTTGTGAATGAAATATTGTTTAAATAAAAAATAAAATGAAAATTAAAAAAAAATTTAATTTTAATTTTGCAATGCAAACTCATTGGAAAAAAAGTTTAAAAGCAGTATTTATTTTTTTTTTTTCCAAAAATAGTCAAAATACATGACTGTATAATGATTTAAAAATAATGTTTGCACGATAGGGTTCACATGGTTCATGGCATATTTTTCTTGAAGTCAAAAGGAATACTTATTTAAAGAAGCACAGTGTATCTGCATGTCACATTACTATCAGTTATACTTTATGTGTTTATTTTGTACAATATGGACTGATTCGCCTATCATGACATTTTTTGTTGAAAAAAAAATGACATCATCAGTTGATGCATACTCACATCATCATTTCATGTGTACATTTTTTTTTTTCTCTGGTGCCTAAACATGTGCATTCATTTGTCAGTGCCATTTCTGTAACAAAGAATCAGGTTGATTTTGTAAAAGCATTTAGTTAACATATATTTTATTAGGATATCTATATGCATTAAAATTACTCAGCCTGAAGAGAGAATTGTGTTTGTTTGTTTATGGTTGTCTATGTAACAACACTTTGTCTACATACATGTATTACAAAGGCAGAGACAATGTGTTAGTGGCACAGATGGGAAGGCATCCTTAATTAGGTTGATGGATAAAAGTTGTTATATAAAAACTTGTATAGACCAAATTGGCAGGGGTCGTCTTTTATATGGATATGCAGTGAATATTTACACAGACTGTATTTAATACTCAGTATCCTATATGTGTACTTGTATGACCCCTCCCCCCCCCTCCCCCCCCCCCCCAAGAAAAAACAAACAAACAAAACAAAACAAAAGAAAAAACAAATTTGGAACGTATTACTTATCATCAAGAGATCATTTGCAGCTTGAATCAAATGATGTCAAAAGATGGCTGGTGCTTACATGATAAACATAAATAGTAAACCTTCATCTGCATTAACTTGCCATGTAAGGTTTACTTACCTTACGTAAGGTCAAAAACTTTACACGAGGCACAAAATGGCTAATTGGGGACAGGTGCGGGAGTGGATTGCCTTCTAACTTTGGAGGGGTAGGGTATCTTGGAGACATAGATGGAAAGATTTATTTTAGAAATTGCACAATGTACGAGTGAAAGTAAAAATAAATATGTATACTGCGGTTTGTTAATGTTATTTCATGTTTATTCACGAAATACATTTGGTTTTGTTGATGCCATGTATGTTCTTGTCAACCACGAACCCCCCCCCCCCCCTTTAGGTGTTGTTAGGTGTTTATTTATGGCAAACATGATCACATCCATGATTGTCATTTGACCAGTGAATTAAAATAAACAGTTACCATGAAATTAAGATCATCATAACCACTTCACAAAATTGATGTTTGGCATTTTTGGCTTAAAATTCTCATGATATTCTTTCTAAGAGAAACTGCTTCAGTATGAATACCTGTGTGGGACTGCAGATACCAAAAGTTGGGGTCCTGAATTTCCCTTTATTAAAACATACAGAAATGAGAAAGGGTTCGTTACTTGTAAGAGATTTGGACATACTACTAAAAGCTGCAACTAGAAAAATGGGGGGGGGGGGGGGGGCTGCACAAATTCCATCAGTTTTGCCTGCATGCACTTTGCAATTTGGCAGCATGGTTTGGTGATGTATTCAGATACAGTGTATATATATTCATTTGAGCCCTTTGAAACTTGATTCAATGGTGGTAAAAAATTATGAGGGAAAAGATGTGTACCAGGTACATCTCCAAGAAAAACAAGATAACAAAGGATGCCATATCTGATCAGGGAAATACTTTTTTGTTTGAGGAGAGAATTAAAATCTACCCTAAATTTGTGAAAAACCATTGGTCTAGAAAGTTACCATGGAGTGAAGTGGAAACGCTGTGTCATGTGGTCCAATCAGGTTTGAGTTTATATCCAAAGCTGGACTACAGACCAAACTAACTGGAGGGGAGTAGGAAAACCTCAGATAACAAACATCAGTGTAGACTGGACAGATCCCAGGGATTATTTTCTCCAGCTGCATGGTTTTAAGAGCAGAAGAGCATGAACATCTACCAGTACATTGAATTCTTAGTTCACCCATCACAGTTGAATAGTCAAGAACTGAAAAGCAAAGAATTTACATGGACTGAAGACAGAACTCTGATTTAACAATTGTTAGTCGAGGGTAAAAATATCTTTGTACATTTATGTACTCATTATGAAACCTTTCAGTAAATGCAACTGAATACAACCTTCTATAAGTGTTGCATAGAAATTGATCAACACCCAGCAATACACTCTCTACTATCGGCTCATACATTCACCTCTGTCGTATACATGTATTACAGTGATAAGCATGAGAAATGGTGCGTTTATTTTAATTCATTATGATTAAATGCCTGCGCTAATTTTGTCCTTTAAGATAAATATTTACTTAGTAGCTCTAGAAACATTAGGATAATTTGACATAATCCTTGGAATATCATGATTTTTGCCTTATGTCAAAAATCTTGATGCGAGCCCATTGCAGGGGTGTCTGAGTGAGGAATGAACAAAAACTCTGCAAGAGAGATTGCCAGCAATAATTCAGAATATTAAAATGACTATAATGAAAGAGCATTAACTACTAGTAACAAATAAAAATTAAATGAAATATATTATTTTACATCTTGCTAGAATAATGTTTATATTATAATGAATTAGATTTACAATGAATCCTGGCATGTTGTTTTATGCAGCTTTTACTGGAAAACATGAGAAGCTTGCACAGATAGAAATATTGAAATAGACAGATTGGTGGAGTACTCACTTGATATTTCAATTTTTCTTTTTAAATTACCAGTACGTTTTGACAAAGACAATATAGATTAAGACTTATTTATAAGTCAGTACAAAGTTTATTTTAGTTCTGTAATTCTGTCATTTTCCATTTTGCATAAAGTGTATTACATTCATGAAGAGAATTAAAATGTGAAAGAATTATACTAAAATTTTCTTCAAAAATATTATATACATGTAATGTATATACCGGTATATTAGAATTGTATTGCAAAGTAATCATGGTGATTATAACCTAATAATTTAAGACATGTACATTTATATTCATTGTCAGCTGCCAATAATGGACATTCAAAAACAAGATATACATAATTAAATAAAACAAACAAAACTTTTTAAATTTATTTAAATACCATGGTATATAACTATCGTTAATGAAACCAAGATTCAAATTTTCATGCATGTTTCACAACGGTTTAACATTAAAAACAGGTCTTCTGGTGGAACCAGGTGGCATAACACCCCTCTCCAATTTCCCCTGTTTCTTGTTCTTTGCAGTTTTAGATGAAATAGGAATAACTTGGAGATAATTAAATGTCTTATCATTGCTTTTCTTTTCAGTTCCGGACATAACTGGAACAACTTGGATACTATCACATGTCTTGTCAGCCTTTCCTGCCTCTTTACTCTGACCATTACATGCACTCTTGTTCTCCTCTGATGGGTTTTCCGACTTGTTCTCGTCTGTCATCTCTGAAATGTCTGTGTCCAGTACGTACAATAGAAAGCTTTTCACGGATTGTTTTTTCTCTCGTGTTAAATATCCCCCTGTTTTTTCCTTGTCCTCTTTTTCTTCATGTTCTTGTTCACACTCGGTGTTGGAGGAGGCTTTATGACTTTTCTCACTTTCATTTCTCCTTGTGAACTTTACTGTAAGTTTTTCCACCACATTTTTCTCAAGATTTGTAATATCTTCATTGGGTGAATTCTCAGAGTTTTCTCCCCTTGAATTTTCCTTATCAGCAACATGTCCTACATTCTGCCCACATGCAGAAGGCACATATTCATCCTCTGGTCCAGATTTTTTATCATCACTTCCTTTGATGTTTAGAATTTTCTTCTTCTTTGTTTTCTCTTCAGAAAAATCCTCCATAGAATCATCAAAATGAACTCCTCTCTTTAAGCTTAAGGATCTCTTCCTTTTTAAGGCCAGTGGTTTCTTGTTCAGAGGTTTGGACAGAGGTAAAGTTCGATTCCCAAACATCCACCTTTTGACACTGTCTGGAATTTCAGGATTTTTCCTCCTTGGACTGCTGAGAAAAGGTTTGAACACCGAAACATCTGCACGATCTGAAACACTTATTCCAAAAGGACCACGGGTCATGTCATTAACTATTGGATAAACACACCTTGGTTTGATGATTTTTATGAAGTCTGTGAGTTCATCAAATGAGCTGTGATCAGAATAAGGAACAATAAACACATTATCCTGATTACAGAAAGGACTCATCTCCAACCCTGTGTACAAAGAGGTCGGGAGAATAGCTATTGTTGGGTGCTCTTTGTTCCAGCTCTCAATATTTTTGTTGGAAATGGAGTAAAAGGGAACAATTTCAATTCTTGCATCTGTTTCTCCTGTAATAAAAACATCTGGAAGATCTAGGATTTCTGCCACCTGAAAGAAGGCAGGGCTGACTTTGATCCACTCCTGAAGATCTTGAGCAATGGCTACCAAGAGGTCCTCCTTTCCTAAGTTTCTCAATCCAATCTTTACACTGAACTCTTCATGGCTATGGATTATTTCCATAATTTGCTTCTGGCTTTCTTCTCGGGATGGAAACACACATCTTGGAGAGTTATATGTATTGTCTAAGTACACAACATCTGTACCAGACAAATTTTCCATCAGGGGGTCATCTTTCATTTTTGAGTCGAAACGAAAATCACCTGTGTATAAAACTTTTCCAAAATACCCCTCAAAGAGGAACATGACACTGCCAGGACAATGGTGAGCATCGATCACAGTCACGGTCATCTGCTCAATTTGATCCGAGTCAACGTACATGATGTGACTGCATCCTGTCTCTAGTAGACAGATCTGGGAGGAGTCGATCTCATACCGCTCCTCCAGTAACTTCCCTGTGATTTCTGAGCAGTATATTTTGTGTTGCCATGAGGGAGACAGCCCCACAGTGTGATCTCCATGAAGATGGGTCAGGAAAAACAGTCTGGCATTGGGACATTCTCTTATCTTCCAGAAGTCTACTGCAATCGGAGTCCCAGGGATCACCTTTCCATTCATTCTTCACTAGGATTTGGATACTTCTTTACTTGGATGCGTCATAATACAGAAGAACATATCAGTGTCTACAATTAGAAAATAAATAAACTGTAGCAAGAGTAATAGATGGTTCACCTCATATTAAGCTCTGGTTGAAGACAAGAAGAACTTATATTTAAAAGTTCTGAATATTGTTTAATAAAATGTAAGCATGAAATGGAATTTGATGTTTTTTGATTTCATTGAAAACAGCAGGAAAATAAACATGTATTTTGACATCGCAGTAGCTTGTTTAAAATTTTGTAATGTAATGACTCCTAGCTAAGGTGACGTCATAATCCTGTATACTGACTGTGAAAATGACATAGAAAGAGAACGATATTGAAGAAAAAGTTAAAAATCAAAATTTGAACAAAACTTGAAATCCCATTAAAGATTATTACCAGTTTGAATAAATTTTACATAGACTAAACTCTGAAGTAGCAATAGAATTTTCAAATAGTTTCAATGCAGTCTAAAAGTCTGTCGAAAATGCTGTGTTTTTATCCACACTGGCACTAAATATTGGATGAAAAAAGTGATGTGAAGAAAAATGAAAATGTAGACAATGAAGTATAGTAGAAGATACTGCAGAGTAACCCTTATTGATTCTTCAGTTGTTTTAACCATCTTAATGGAAAAATTAAAACTCAGGAAAGGTTTTGCTAAGCCTGCCCCTATTCCCTCTTTCAAAACAAATTGATGTCTGTGTAGATGCATGTATATCCTCAGCATAACTCATTATTTTTTGTAATTTGTGACTCAAAGCAAATAAATATAATTATACTTGGTAATGGAACTCAAATTTTTGACTCCAAATACTTTATTTTGGATCCCTCGTAGCCAAACTCGCCCATTGTTGAAATAATGCTTGCAAATGAATGTCAGACACCTCAGCCCAACGACACCTCGGCCCATTGACATCTTGGCCCAGTGACACCTCGACCTTGACTGGTCGGCCCAAAACTTAAGACACCTCGGCCCAAGCAAATTTTATCACGAAGTATTATATATTTCCAATCTGCGACTTCAATAAAATTTTGACCAAAAAAAGTAAATGATCAAGATTATTTTTAGTAATAAAAAGACCTTCCACAGCTACATGATTGACTATAATCAAGGAATAAAAAAAACAATTAATTATAATTTTGAAAGTGCTAACCGATAAACAAACAAGATGCCACGGCGCATCCTTTGAAGTCTCCAGTGCATGTCATACTGGTGACAATGAGGGAATAATTACGAGCAGAGTTAATTGTGAGACAGTCATTCAGAACATTTACATCCATTTATTTCTTAAGAATTCAACTTACATCTTACATTAAAAACTAGTTCGAGCCCTTATTTTAAAAAAAAAAATATTATTTTTAGCTATCTGTATTAAACTATGATTTTAAATCAATGAACATGATGAAACATACGATGAAGTTCAGATCAATAAGGCAATTATTTTACGTACTTAAACTATTATTTTATACGATTATTTACACTGACATAAAATTTCACTTGGGCCGAGGTGTCTTTTATAGGCCTATGGGCCGACTTGTCAATAATCTTGGCCCAGGTGTCAGACGTCACGGGCCGAGGTGTCGTTGGGCCGAGATGTCTGTCTACCTTGCAAATGCATATTAAAACTAGAAGACTGACGATTAAGCAAAACTAAACAAAAAAAAAACAGACCTCAATATTCTCAGTAGTATTTAACAAATCCGGAACAGTCTCTTCAGTTAGCACAAGTCCCAGGGGAAAAAACGACACTTCTTTGTTTTCAAAACAAAATTACATCGGAAACAAAAGCATAACGATAATACACAAACCCGGAACGAACAACTTTTGAGATCTTGGTTATTGATACGTTTTATCATTGAGCTGAGTGAATATTGCTCAGTAAGAAACATTTTTACATTGAGAACTCAATGCAGCTAACGATGTGACTGATCGGAAAATCGGAAAATATTACTAGGCCTGTCAAAAGGTAGATAAATTGTAGGTTTATTAAACCATTGGACTAACCAATAATAACTTTAAGCAATAGTTTTGATTTTCTATCGTTAAAATGATGTAGTGAGGATGTGTCAACGTTTTGAGACACATGGTGACTTTCATTCATTTATTTTCATACAAGTGAAGGACAGAGTATGTCAAAGTTTATCAGGGATAATATTTCACTGAAAAAAAATTTGACTGAATGACAAGCAAAGAAAAATAAAGGGTGAAAAAAATGCCAATTTTCCAAACTCAAAAAAAGTCAGATCAGTTATTTTTATGCTAGCTGAGGACAGGTTATTTATTTTTCGACATTTTTATTATGATATGATTATTTCCCAAATCTGCCGCCCTATCATGTCTACTCTGGCAGGTGGTAAATCTAGTACTGCCAACTCCCGACTCTCTTGGATTAATGTTTATCTTTGATATTCTCCTCACCGCTTTTCAAATTCGGTTCATATTTTTCTGGCACATTATTTATGTTGAACATAATTCACATAAACATAAAAATATTAAAACAATCTGAATGCTTGAGCATGTTGAGCAGTTCGATAAATCAGTATCCATAATTTTAGTTTTCTGCATTTTTAACTTAGTGTTAGATTTTACCACTTTGGACAGATGACATCATATTACATAGCATTCTTGATATATTTATGTATATTGGAATTAACTTTAATGTAGCAACTATGTCCCAGAAGTTGAAAGTGATTCTTTTTGGTGAAATGAAGAATTAGTAAGAAAAGATTGCTATCCAGAGCAATTGGGAGTCAGATTTTAAGAATTCTTAATTCATTATATTATAGGTACCATTGTGAACACAATAGAAAACTGAGAGCATGGGGAGTCAGCAGTACTAGATTTAACAACCCCCCCCCTCTTTAAATCACTTTGATTTTCCCCACCTAAATATATATATTTTTTTTTTTTACCAGTGGTGAATCTGTTTAGATGCTAACCATGTATGATAGTTCAGTAGACTGAAATTGAATATTTTTTGCTTAATCCATGAAGAAAATTCAAAAGGAAAATTTCTACACTATAAAAGGAAAGAAATTCATTTAATTTGATCATAATTTAAATTATTTCTATCTGCAGCCATGAAGGGCAAGGTGTCTAACTATGCGAAGCGGATGGCCCATCTGTCTGCTAGAATATTTGTGGAGTACACCGGAGAAAGAACACACAATGTTAACCGAATCATCAACGAGTTCAAAAGTATGCCAAAATATAAGGACCCCAACATCATCAACTATTACCCTAAGCACCCTGAGGCCACATGGCTACTCAATAGACTAAGACATCATGGATTGTTCAGGTACATGTATTGAAATATTTTTTCACTGCAGTTCATAAAAACCTGGGTTCATATCAACTGATGGTTGGAATAATGTGAAAAATAAAGTATGTTTGGCATAATTCAGTGAGAACTGCATCATCTCACATAATTCAATTTAGCTTTACCAAAAAATCTTTTTTAAAAAATCAGTAACTACATGCTGCCACCAACTAAATCCAATTATAATGGATATAATGTTACCTTGACAATCGAATTAAGCATGCAGTCATAAAGGTGCACATTCTCAAATGCCCCTATAGGCAGTTTAATCTATGTACCACAATGTCTGTTGTTAGGATTATGCATTTTCTGTTCTGCATAAAAGCCTTCTCCAACTGGTGTTGTTCACAAATGGTGAGAAATTATGGTACCTTTATCTTGACTTGTTCAAGAATTTCAAATCAAATATCAGTGACAGACAAACTGCAATCCAAGACGTTGGTTTAATATGCCACTAATTAATGATTAATTACAAAAACTTAATACCTGTGCTGAAATACTGTGATATCGAAAGATGGGTAGATATAATCATTGCAAACCATTCATTTATTAGGGCCCCACTCTGCGGGCGCCCTATAGTGATCAGTCTGTCCGTCTGTCCTTCCGTCCGAGATCTCTTGTCCGGAGCATATCTTCTCTCTCCTTGGCCCAATCTGGCTCATACTTCACCCACAGAGTGTCTTTGGGTAAAGGGTGTGCAGTGACCTTGAACCATGTTTCTAGGTCTAAGGTCAAGGTCATAGCAGAATTATATAAAAAAATCCTTGTCCGGAGCATATCTTCTCTCCTCTTGGTCCAATGTAGCTCATACTTCACTCACAGAGTGCAACTGGTCAATGGATGTGCAGTGACCTTGAACAAAGTTTCTAGGTCAAGGTCAAAAATAGCCTCTCTGTTTAAATTCTTGTCTGGAGCATATCTTCTCTCTCCTTGGCCCAATCCAACTCATACTTCACCCACAGAGTGTCTTTTGGTAAAGGGCGTGCAGGGACCTTGAACCATGTCTCTAGGTCTAAGGTCAAGGTCATAGCAGAATTATATGAAAAATCCTTGTCCAGAGCATATCTTCTCTCCTCTTGGTCCAATGTGGCTCATACATCACTCACAGAATGCCACTGATCATTGGATGTGCAGTGACCTTAAACGAAGTTTCTAGGTCAAGGGTCAAGGTCAAAAATAGCCTCTCTGTTTAAAATCTTTGTTCGGTGCATAATTTCTTTCTCTTAAGTCCAGTCAGCCTCACACTTTACCAATTGACTTAGGGTACGGAACATTTGTGATTTTCAATGTTTTGATAGAGGATATGCAACAATTTTCATAGAGGATATGCAACATTCGTGATTTTTGTGATGCTTTTTGATAGAGGGTATGGAGCACTCATGATTTTCATGCCATTTTTTATTATAACAAGGATGACATAGAAGCCCTTTAGACTCAAACAACACATCCCTTACTAGTACACAAATGTTCCTCTTAAGAAATGAATTTAATTTTTTAAGATTCATGAGGTACATGAACTACAATGCTTCACGCTGGCATATTTCATGAAGCGTGTTAGCGCTTCATGATAAATATGCTGGCGTGAAGCATTGTAGTTCATGTACCTCATGAATATTCAAAAATTAAATTCATTTCTTATATTTACATTATTTTTCTGACAAGAATCCACAAGTTACGCCATTCAACTGTCATTTTTTAAACAAAACAGTTTGCACTATAGTTTTGACGTCAAGTATGGTATTATGACGTAACAATGGAGATATTCATGCTCATCTCATGGTAGTTCATGAGAAAATGAACAGTCTTCTAATTTGCAAAGAATCTTAAGGAAAAATACTTTGAAATGCAAATATTTCAAAATAAACCCTTTTCAGCCACCTTACATTTTCATGTTCATTGCTGAAAGCGGGGCCCTTTGAGATGGCTACCATCTCAATGATATCTAGTTACCAGTATTATAGTTTGCCTTGTTATTTTAAAATAATTACGGTTGTGACACATGTATGTTAACTCCTAGACTCTCTTCTGTTAAGTGGTAGTGATGGTTTTTCATTTTCAGGGACAACCATGCAGATTTTAAGGAGGAATTTGCAGCTCAGAGAGCCAAACGTGGTAAAGGCCCCCCAGAAAAGGGACAGGGAAAAAGAGCATTGAGGAAGTGAACTGTGTAGGACTAACGTGTGAAATAAACTGATTTTATATTCAAACAGCTGTTTATTATTTTTGGAATGAGGAGAAAATTTATTTAGTTTTTTAAGTTTTTGCAAATGAACAAATAATCAAAGCCAAATGGTTTATTTTCCATGCTGTGGACTAAGTTTCCACTTCAGTTGGGGGTTATTAATTTGCCAAGGAGAGAATATGACTCTCATTTGCTTAGATCCTTAGAAATTAGCTCTCAATGTTAGCCATCTCTTACAGTCCCTGAAACGTTCTACTTTCCCATTTTTCCGTTCGCTCACCGTTCGTTCACCGTTCGTTCAGCGTGCGTTCACCGTTCGTTCACCGTGCGTTCACCGTTCGCTCTCCGTTCACAGTTTTGCGTTCACCGTTCACCGTGCGCTCGCGTTCACCGTTCACAAAGCGTTCAGCGTTCGCTCTTCGTTCCGTTCACTTTGCGTTCACCTTGCGTTCAGCGTTCACCTATCGTTCAGTTTTCATTGTCATTCGGAACTCCGAAGTGAAAGGACTTATCTTTTTGTAGGTTAGGAGTTACAGGTTTTTTAATTTAATAACTAACATATCGTGTTTGAAGAATCATTATTTCATGGGGAAAAATATCTACGATATATATTTTTATTATTCTAACTTAGCTGTTAGGTTATTTATTAAATTAATCTGGAAAATAAATGTTGTTATAAGCACATTCTGTAGCTATGTAGAACGATGCTGGAATATTAAATTTAACTAAGGACAATGTGCAAATACTTCAAACACTGCAACATTTTTGTTGTTTTGTTAAAGACGACAAATCGTTAATGGAGATATAATTACCCAAGTCAAATAATTACGCAGCAAAATTACGAAAATATTTATTTCTAACACTTTTTTTTTCAATTACTACAGAAAATATGATAGAACTAGTTCTGAGAGTTATACATAGTACTGCGGATATCGTGTTAATTTATTATTTTTGAAGCGAATTAAATTGATAGTGTGGTTAAAGGAAATATTTATTTAAAATGTAATGCACTACAGAATTTTCTCTACTATAATATGTAAAGTCTATAGTTACAGAGAAAAAAATCTTTCTTCACCGTAAATTTATATGTTTGCCATTCGATATGATTAATACCCCCCCCCCCCCTTTTTCCCCCTAAATCGGTTACTTAGTCAGTATTGTATTTCCAGAATATTTTAATTAACATTTTAAAAAAAAGGTTAAGGTCTTTTTTAGAACAAAAATTTCAGTCTCAAAACAAACATGCATCTAAAAAAGTCACAAAACAATAGTAGTTCAAAATGTATACGTGTCGGCGGTGGTATTTGGAATTGGCAGAGAGTATGTTTCGAATTCAAGTGTTAATGCCCAATGTATTTTATTCAATTATTATTCAAATGTTGGAATCAAATCTAGAAATGATAAAAATAGATGTTATAACTTGTTGGAAATACTCGCACTTCGTCTTCGATGTGACGAAACTTTCACACCTGCACAGTGTCGAATGATTTTGATTGACAGGACAAGCACGTGGACTTCGTGTGAACTTGAAGCAGGAAAATAAAAACGAGTATGACTGTCAAACAAATGGATATGATTTGTTGATTAAAAAAAAGTTACTTTCACTGTCTGATATATTTAGAAAAAAAATTTCAGAGTTTTTGTTTGATATAGGTACAAACATTTAGTGAAGCCTGAAATTGGGAGGGGGGGTTAAAACGGAATATCTCTCTCTCTCTCTCTCTCTCTCTCATTTGGCTGTTTAATAAAAACTATAACAGCATATTACTTGAATATCAAGTTCTAAAAAATGAATTTATAACAAATAATATGAATATGTATCTTTGTATTATCTTGTCCGAGTATAATCACGGCCATCTACAGATAGATGTAGAAGTCTGCTCAATAAACGTTGAGCAGACTGGCCGTTGGAACCGGGGGGGGGGGGCAAGGGGGGGGGGCGTGCCCCCTCCCTCCCCAATAATTTTGCCGATATATAGATTACTATAGTAAACATAGATACTATATGCTTGTGCCCCCCGCAATAAAAAAAACGTCCACTGACCTTTGTAATTATTTTTTTTTCATTACTTTACACGAAATCGCTTTAACACGGAGATATAGGAATGGATGTTACAACCACTTTAATTCATTTTTTAAGTCAGAAGTTTTCTCTGATTTGTTATCAAATAAGAATAAACATTTTTATTTTCCAACTAAGAAAAAATATCTCTTATACTTCAGCGTTCGGCAACAATTGCAATGTTTTAATGCGATAAAAATCGTGTGATTAAAAACTTAATGTGCATGCATCGTCTTTCTCAGGACAATTTTGGAAAATTTATTTTATTGACTTATTTATTCATTCATTTATTGGTTTACTTATTTATTATTGATTGATTTATTTTTTTTTGCACCTGACATTATAAAACAATAAAATAGTTTCAATGCAAGGAAAAGATCAGAGGCATTCCGAATATATCGTTCATCTTGCGTTCACCGTTCGTTCACCGTTCACTTTGCGTTCGCGTTTGCGCTCCGTTCGCGTTCTGCGTTCGCTCACCGTTCACCGTTCACACATCGTTCACCAAGTTGCGTTCAGCGTTCACACATCGTTCACTCACCGTTCGCTCTGCGTTCGTTCAGCGTTCGTTCACCGTTCGTTCAGCGTTCGCTCACCGTTCAAGTGGGAAAGTAGAACGTTTCAGGGACTGTAGAAAGGTTCCATGCCAGACAAGAATCACAGAGTTCTTACTTTGGTCATGTAAAATTCTGAGTTACCTAGTTCCATATTTTCAGGTAAATAACTCTGGATTATTTCACTGGGTAATTTAGAAATAATTTGCAATGATGTAATTTTAACTTAAGCTAATGCATTCTGATACATCATAAAGTGCATATATAGACAAGTTAGAATTCACCAAAAAGTACTGGATTTTAAGGTCGTTATGCAACATTCTAAATAAAGCACAATCTTATCTAAACTTCCTAGGTAAGTGATGTAAGAGCAATCTTAAGAATTTTTTTAAAGTTAACATGCCATGATCTTCTATATTAACTTTTGCTGGATTTATAGTCACTTCTCTGTAAAAACACCTTTGACTTGTAACAGTAGATTAATACAAAAACCCATACTGAAGTGTTCAATTTCTGTAGGAATGAGCAACCTGATGAACAGAGGGATTAGACTTGTTTGATATTGGCCAATATTTATTGTTACAAATGAAATAATGCAGACACACTTTTCTGTGTAGGATTAATTTACATTATGTACGAGATGACAATTTTCTGCAGAAATTTGTCACAGCACACTTTTAAGTTTGAAATTCTTTGAGACATACAAAGGCAATTCAAGAAATTTGTATCATTTAATTCTACCCGCAGATTGAACAGAAATTGTGATTCAATCCACTGAATTACGACCCTTTGGAAAAAAAGTATATTTTACAGTAGCCATACCATACTGTATTACATCAGTACCATACTGTATTACATCAGTACCATACTGTATTACATCAGTACCATACTGTATTACATCAGTACCATACTGTATTACATCAGTACCATACTGTATTACATCAGTACCATTCTGTATTACATCAGTACCATACTGTATTACATCAGTACCATACTGTGTTACATCAGTACCATACTGTGTTACATCAGTACCATACTGTATTACATCAGTACCATACTGTATTACATCAGTACCATACTGTATTACATCAGTACCATACTGTATTACATCAGTACCATACTGTATTACATCAGTACCATACTGTATTACATCAGTACCATACTGTATTACATCAGAGAGTTAAAGTAAGCCTCTGTTCAGTATAGATACAGAATTCCAACTGAATGGAATTTTTACACATGTATAGGTAAGAAAAAACATTAAGCTACATATGTTTGCATGGAGATTTTGGAATTAAGGCTGGCCTCATAAAATATAAAGCTTCATTATTCAGTTTTTGCAACTACATGTAGATGAAAAAAGATCAGATTGATTTGTATCTCCATTTGATAATAAAGATTTGATACCTTTTAATATACATAAAAGTATTACAGAATTCATACACATTTATTTCAAAGTAATATACAATATCTATGAACATGAATATACAAAATGATCATGTAAACAATACAAAATACATATTTTACATAATTATCATTCAATAAATTGTTCAGTTATCACAGCTCTTTGTTAATATGTTAATCATATCAAAATCAGCAGTCCCACCATTGCTACCAGATATATCACTCTATTACTAGTTGTTCACAAATTTTAAATGCTGAGTACATGTGTACTTTAGGGTTAATATTCTGGAACATAAGATGCCTTCTGATTGATAGGTGGCAGCACTTTATGACGGTCTGACCCTGGTCGACCTTGAGAACCAGGGCGAGGTACAGAGGGAGGGCGGGGATTGGACAGTTCCATGGGGTTCATGGTCTCTGTTGGGAGGTGGGGGTCTTTGCCATTGTGAACTGATCCATCAGGAGAGCGGGCGATTTTACCAGCAGACGACATGGAGATGCTGGAATCTGATTGGTCATCATCTGAGGAGTCTTCGTCAGACTGAGCCAGTTTGTTGTTGACCGGTGCTGACTGGGACCGGTTTACGTCTTCTGTCATGGTAACCACATCAAGTCCAACCTGGTTGTCCACAGTCTGGGGTGCTGTTTTCGGGTATCTGTTGAATTGAGTACCAAGTTAATGACAATTCTCCAAACAAACAATGATCAGAAATTTCACACGGCTCAATAAAACATTGAAAAGTTAAGAACAAAATGAAAAGAGAGATTCCAACATTGCATTTCTGATTGTAGCAGAAGCTCCCTTATTATATTTTCTTAATTACGATTGAATGTTAATCTTCTGATATAATACAAGGGACAGCACTACTTACTGTGATGTGATTTGTTCAAACAATGGAGGAATGTAGCCGGCTACAGAAGCCTTAGCAGCACTGTGTCTTCTCTTCAAAGACATTTCCTCCTACAAAAATAAAGGTTTATTAAAACAAGATCATTCAACAACATTCATACAAAGTTAAAACAATCAGCCTCATTACTAGTACGCCAAATATGTTTGTACTCTTTACATTATATAAAGCAGTAATTGTAAAATTTAAGCAAGAATTGTACCAAATCAATCTTGTCCCCTCACTTACCAGTATGCCCCTCCCTGATAAGACAGGTGATTGGGTGGTCTTTCCGCGGGTGTATGGCTGGGACATACTGTCAGGTAGACTGGGTCGAGACCAGGTCCTGGTTCCTAGCTGAGTACCTGTGGGGGCGTTATTTTCAGTGTCCTTTGTCTCTGCAATATCGCCGACCTCCGACGCAAACGAGGGAATACTGATACCGAGATAATCCATAACGAGTCGTCTCAGGTGTTTGTACGCCTCCTCTATGTCATCTGAGGTGAGATAGAAATGGGAGCCATTTAAACATACATTATTGGGAAATTTTTTCACAGTTATACATCCTATTTCAGATGGGAGATGTTTCCAAATTTGGATTTTGTAAATTGTTGACAAATACATTTCATATCGCCAAAGCTCAGCATGTTTGAAGACGAGAAAACTCTACCATTTACTGATAGCCAACTGAATGATCACTGAAAGGTCTGGAAAAGTGACTGAATGACACAGTAAACTCTCCGGCACCTTTCAGTAAACTGAATGGCAGAGTTTCATCCTTTGTTCTGTTCTGGTAGTGGGGCTAATGTACTACTCACCGCTGTTAATCATCATGTCAAAGAAGCCTGGATGATCCCTATTGTATTCCTGATACATCTCAGCTCGTCCCAGATTGTCTTCAATCTGGGCCTCAGAGTATAGAGCCCGTTCTCTGAGCCGCTTCTCATGACACTCGGAGCTCAGAGGCATGATTAGGACGTACCGTGGCTCAAAGTACGTGTTCTTCAGAGTAAGCACTCCCTAAATTAAAGTACTTTGTATGATTATGTCTAATAACTTTAGCAAGGCCCCTATGAAAGAAACCCCTCAAAATAATCTTTGAAAATTTTAATGGCTAGATTACTGTAGATTCATCATTGTTTTGTGGGAGACCAATGTTTGTAGGTTTTGTTAATCACCCTACCCAGGAATTTACATCCCCACAAACAAACACCTTGTCATTGTATCCATTCATGGAATTATGCAGATTCCCCTACCCTTGAAGTTATTTCCTGTGAACCAGGTAATATTTTGATTGTCCACAAACATTGCCCCCCATGAATTAAAATGATTCCACAGTTAAAGTAATTCTGATTTATTGTCAAAGAGAACAGACAAATTATGCTGTCCCCTCACCTCTAGTTCCATGTGGACCACACAGGCCAGACCCTCCCGAGCTATGTCCTCAATAGACTGCATCTGGAGTCCATACCACTGGCCGTGATACTGACTAGTCTGGATAAACTGTCCCTGTTATCAAATTCCAAGTCTACATTAATCATTTGTAGTCAAGAAAATAGCATGTAATTTTACACTTTGACTTTACTTGAAGAGCATACCAGTTGTAATTTATAAATTACAGTACATGTAAGTGCCAATTAACTCACCCATCTAATGTCAAATTCAAACTTCTCGAGATCTACAAAATGGTAGTCCTTTCCTGGTGTCTCGTCTTTATTAGGTTTACGTGTGGTATGTGTCACACTGTAATCAAAATCACCAACATAAAATAATCAAATATTTTTAGAAATCAATATAAAGTAACTGGTAATTATGAATCTTCATATTAGCTAACACATGTTATTTCTAACCTCCAAAATTTGGAAGGTTTTAAAATAGATGTGCAAGCAATTGTATAGATAATTGTATATTTTTAAGACTGAAATTATGTGCATTTTAATTATAAATCAGAACTCTTTGAAAATCAGTATCATTAAAGCAAAATTTTATATGTTTGAAGGCATGAGGAACCTTAAACCTTTACACTATGTTGTAGTGAAAATTAAATTCTGGACACAACTGTTTATATCTACTTACCAATAGCCAAAATAATCAGAGAATTCCTCTACAAGTTTTAGAGCGAGGTCTTTTTTCCCTGAGCCCTGGGGACCAACCAGTACCAACATAGGGTAAGGGGTCTCCATACTAGGCAGGGTGCTAAAATTAAACAAATTATGCTTCTTAATTTCCTCTAAAATATAAATTTGTGAACAATTATTTTAAATCTGGAAGGAATATTGTGAAAAGTTTCTTGTATTTATCTTGGATTGAAATCCATTCATATACAAACAAATGTATATCCAGAATATCAACATTTGAAGATGAAACACCTAAATAAAATGAACGAGATACTTTTTCTGCAGACTATTTACACTACTGTAGCTAATCAACACCAGTGTTATATATCAAACTATCACATACAACATAAAAATACACATACTGAAAATGACAAAAAAGAGTACAGTATCTCTATGACACAAAAGAATCTACAGTACTTATCTAATAGCTGATGGTATGAAGGATAGACTTACTTGTCCAGAATACGACTTGGCTGAAGAAAAGAGTACACAACATGCATGATATGGTCCCGTGCCGCGACTATTTCAGCTGGGGGGTTGAACATGTTCACAGCCGCTACCTGTAACAAATAATCAATTTACATAATGAAGGTCTTCTTATCTTTATTTCAGTATTATGCCTTATTCTCTTTAATAGTTATTATTTTTCCTCCTTTTCAGTTTTTCAAAAGAAACTCTCCAAGAAGAAACAGAGACAGAAAAAAGTTAACTTCAGGTATGTTGATTATGCTCATGTGCTGTTTTCATAAGCAACATCAAAATTTATCCAGTTGAAAGTCACCTCCCTTAAGTTGAATTTGTACAAATGTTGACATTTATGATATTTGTTTCTGAAATTCTGATTGGTTTACAGCAAATCAGACAAATGTCCTTGACCTTTTCTTCGACCTCCACCCTGTGTCTATCCAGCTCAGTGAGACTCTGCATCCGGAACAGAATGGACAAGCGGTAATCCGGGAGTTCCTGTATGGGGTTCCGGAGCAGATTCAGCTGACGTAACATCTGGGACTCCTTAATATACTTCATCTCCGAGATGTCAATTACCTTAGGAGAATTAATTCAAAAAAATAAAAATGGAGTATATTTTTTGCAGACATTATCACATTAAACAAACTTACAAAAAACAATTCAGTTTCTGATATTATCAAATATCATTTGTCTGTACCGTGAATTATTATTCAGGCATCTGATATTAACTTCAAATTTAATGCTTTTACAATAGATACAAGCCTGGCAAATAGGTTTTAGGGTAATTTTAAAATGTTGAGGCCGTAATAAGATGAACTATGACCTACTTCATTATCCTCCACGTCCACATTTTCCAACAGGGGGTGGTCCTCTAACCCCGCCAAACTACGGATGTTGTTACCCGATAAATTGATACTCTGAAATGGAATCATTAATCATTGTAAGAAAGCTTCACACATAAACATGTACAAAAGTATTGTTAGCAAAGCTATTGTAACATACAAGCTACTGATGATGCAAAATAATGAATTTTAATAATATTTGATTTTATATATGTATAATGATTTTTGAAATAAATCTTGCAATGAAGAAAAATATATCTATTTATTATAAAGCTAATAAATAGTCTAAAAAAAGCTACTATAAGTCTAGAGAATTTTGGCATTCAAAATCTGGGAGATTTATTAAATGCTGAGTTTGCATTAACATATATGAGTTACTCAGTATGCCCCAAACCAATCTGAATACGAGCATTCAATATTGAACACGCTATTGTAAACAAAAAATATCTTCTGATATTGCACACTTGTAATGTAGATACCAATACTGTAATAATTTTTAGTTATTTTCAAAATTAATGTTAATCTATGAGAATAGCTTGTGCATTTGTACAGCCAACTCATGCCAATACTCACCAATATAAATTCAATAGCCCTATAATATTCTTAGTTGTTTAAACTGTAATAAGTAACCTAATGATTAATAATGCATTTTTACTTACTCGCAACAGATGCAGAGTTTCCAAGTTTTCTATCTTCTTGATATGGTTGTGACACTGTAAATAATGGCAAAAATGATAATTAAAAAATCTGGCTATTTTGATACAAATAAAAAATTTATTAAACAAATTTAAAAAAAAAAAAAAATATCGTACATTTTTTAGGGAGAAGAATTCTTTATTCATGTGACTGTCATTTAATTTTTATGTGATTAGTAGTTTTAATGTAAATATTACACTGACACTTTGTAAATTTTCTAATCTCTCTATCTAATTTTGATACATACCAAATTCAGGTTCTGTAGGGAAGATTTTTCTAATCTCTCTGATTAATTTTGATACATACCAAATTGAGGCTCTGTAGGGGAAGGTTTTTCTAATCTCTCTGATTAATTTTGATACATACCTAATTGAGGTTCTGTAGGGGAAGATTTTTCCAATCTCTCTGATTAATTTTGATACATACCAAATTGAGGCTCTGTAGGGGTAAATTTTCCAGACCATGTATCCTCTCTATTTTGTTGTGGGCCAAACTGAGATCTTGTAGACGTTTACAATTTTCCAGTCCTTTAATCTGTGAAATTTTGTTATATAGTTTTGTGATTAAGGTTTAATACTGCATGTTTTATTATTTTTAAAACATTATAAATGAAAAATTATACACTGAATTCATTACTTGCCTATTCTATCAATTTGTTTTTTCCAAAAATTTGGATATTTTATTTACCAATATAAAGTCATGTGCAGATCAAGCCACTTTAAAAGATGTATGGGAAAATATCATTCATATGATTGTATGAATATGGTAAAGATTAATTCTCTCTATGATGAGAATTAATTTTTTGAGATCTATCATCATCTAAATTGTTGATTGTGTTTCTCTTGCTCTTTAGCCATATTATGGCATCATACATGAAGTGGGCAAAATGTCATACATATGTCGATGAATTAAGTGATGTGAAATAAACATTATGACATGGAGAGTGAGATATGGAAATCTCTCATAACTATCTCACATGCTCACGTATGTACAATGTTTCTTATAGCATTGATTCTGGGAAAAAGATCTATTCATTTTTAAAATTACGATTAGAGTGAAAAAGGATACGATCAAGATTAAGACTAGTTAAGTAATGGTAGGCAGAGAGATCTGTCATTTCCTCAATTTCATTGTAACCAAAGTTAGCCTCCTTCAGATTCTTTGGTGGCGTGAAGTCCAGAAGCTTTGTAAGCTTATTGTGAGACACATCTAAAATCAGCATGTACTGGAGGGAACTAAGGGGAGATAAATCTGTAATAAAAAACAATCCAAAATATATACACATATTAATCAGAGTTAAAGGGGGTTAAATGGAGATAAATCTTACTGCAGAAAGAATCAGAACATATAGAATCAACAAATGACATAAAGAAAAAAATTAACACGAAATCACAAAGAGCTGAAACAACAAATGTGCACTTAGCAAAAGAAATTAAGGAATGATTAGATTTCCATGTGAAAGCCTAAATTATAAAACAATACCTGTAAGTTCATTGTAGGGTAATTCTACCCTCTGAAGATGTACAAAATTTGATAGAGCTGATATATCTTTCAAGTTGAAACCCTACAAAGTAAAAATTAAATTCAAATCTATCTGTACTTTTAATACTTTTGTTATATTTTCTTTTGACAAAAATTACAGAAAGGACAGCACTGACTTCTTTTTAATATTTAATTATCATTCTGAGAATGATTTTCATTTCAGTGCATAAATTGGCTTATAAAATTTTCATTTATCTCTGGTATATTATTAATATTAGAGATCTTATAAAATCAATGTCAAATTATAAAAGATTACATTATGTTTGTGTGTTGTTTTAAACACCTTAGAAGTTCTATTTAAATGAGCTTTACTTGGACATATTGGAAAAAAAACTTACTGCAATAGTAACATGAAGAAACACTTGTTGAGTACCATCAGCAGATCTTCCCAGATTTGATAAGTTTCGTCCAATAGTTTCCTCATCCAATATTCCACCTGGCGAAAGCTGTAATTATGAAAGAAGGCATATTAAATTATCATAATCTCTAATCAATGCAAAATATAAACACATGTAAATGTTAACATCCCTCCACCTCTCAGTGCAAATCACAAATTCCTCAGGCAATTGATATGCTGTTCGATAAAACACAATCCAAAAGGTAAAACCATAATTCTATGCTAACCTCTTTTATTTGTGAACAGATGACAGTTACATCTACTGATTTCTACTGCTAATTTACTAAATTACTTACTAATTTACAGAACAAGTTCCTGTGTTTATGAGTTATAGTGAGCATAGCAAGGGGTGCAAAGTGCCAGCTCAAGCTTACAACAATGCATGGGCGAAGAGAAAATTTGAACACACTGATTCAGATGAATATTTTTCTGCTGTTACCTTGAGCAGGTCCAGCACAATACCCTGATAAAGGTATATAGCTTGATAAAGCTATTTAGCTTTATCAAGGTATTACAAATACCTTGATCAAGGTATTTTATGTAATGAAAATACAAAAAAAATCTTAAAAAATTAAATTTAAAAAGTCAAATTATGAGTTGGGGTCACTGTGTTCACTCGTGCATGAGAAGTACTCTGGTATCAAGAAGACAGCATGAAAGAACGTCTCCTCACACGACATGCTTTTAAACTGATTTCTTTGTGTTTGAGTACTTTACATGCATGAGTGAATTTCCTGACAGCAACTCAGAACTCTACTTTCAGTATTTATTTTTTTATGATTTTTTTTGTATTTTCATTACATAAAATACCTTGATCAAGGTATTTGTAATTTATCAAGCTATATACCTTTATCAGGGTATTGTGCTGGACCTTTTGAGACACACAATGCGATGCAAATGCATCTCGCTGCTAACTATGTGCTCGTGGTAAGAGTAAAAGTACACCAAAAAATAAGCTTACCTTGTTTTCATGAGTATTGCTTATAGATTGTAGATTAAATATTCTTTGTTAAAAATTTTGCACTTTTAAGACTGTGTAATGGAAATGCAGCTAACTTTTTATGTCATATAGACATTCCAAATGTCTCATGTGGTTTAATAAGGCAGGTTTAAGTTAAAATTGAATAGGCATCTAGTAAGACACAACTGCGCTCGCCCTAACGGTAGCACAATCAACATATTAAATTTTGATCAAATAAAAATAATAAGCTAGCTGGTACATGGCTATATTCTAGTACATGTAATTTAGAAAAATGGGCCAAATGTTAGACAATATGCTAGAATACGCCTCTTTTATTTTGTATATGATACTTAGAAGACATTATCTCAAAGGTTTTGGGGCACTTGTTACCTCAATATCCTCCTCCTCTTCGCCATCGGACTCGCACACTTCGTTTTCTGCGCCATCCGTCAATTCTGTTGGCACTCGCACATTATCTAGAGACAAGACATTTGTGTCATAGTTCAGAATATGTGTTTCTCCACCTGTATGAACTAAATTTCCCTCAACTACGGGAGAAAATTCATTTTCTCGCATTGCTTGTTGTCCATCCATAGCGGCCATGATGTTTTCCTAGGATACAATCAGGTTCGCAGTGAATAAATTTTAAAATAATAAAATTTCGAGCCCGATTTATTTTCAAAGTGAAAGTTGGCATGCCGGATGAATAGGATAATTTACTCGGGTTTCTTCTATATATTAAAGAAAAAAAAAACAACAATTTCTGTTATTTGAGCTATGGTAAATAATGAAATTTGTAATATTCTTCGAACAAATCATTTTTCAGGACTATTTATTTCGGTCTCGGAATGCAAACTTTGGCCTTCACTAATCATATGATCGCTTTACAACAGACGACAAAAGGGCCATGCAAGAATGTCGGATTTTTTCCAGTTTCTTAAAGATCACATCTATGTAAGACTTCATATATGATTATATGCTATCACTTGTATTTTGTTGTTGTTAAAGTACTAATCATGGGTTTAAAATGTCATATTTTAAGCAACTTTCCATTTGAAGTGATTGCCATATAGGCCTATATACTATATGATCATGAGTACATTTATCTGTTTATATAGTGCATATATGAAATATTTACTCAGATGCCTTTATATTTATTCACTGATTCTGGTTGATCAGGATTTTGTAACTTATTACAAATACTCATCAAACTTAATTCATTTAACATTATATATCATTTTCTGTTTCAGATTGAAATTATATTTTAAGGTAGTATGGGATACCTCTACGTTATGACGTATTTCCGTTTGAAGTATTGTTTTGATTTGCATGAGTGCTTATTATCGGGTCAAAATTTGTAGATACACCGTTGAAAAGAACACTCTGAAGCCTATTTCAATGCAAGTTCTCACAAGTCGGCATTTTAAGTAAAAACAGACAAAAAAATCGCAAGTATATAAATTTACTTATAATTGTACAACGGACATTTAAAAAAGCAAACCCCTGTAAAAGGTAGTTTCAACATTGCTGCTTTTGAACACTTTTAAGCAAAAGCTGTATTTCAATTGTTTGAGTAACTGTACAGCACCTTGTGTGCGGTGAGGCATGGATAAGTGCGATTACTTCACATTGTGCTGAATTATCACCAATCAATTATCACGTTAACCAGAGCTGGACTTTTTTGTTATTTAATTCAAGAAGTAACTGTTTGGTCACAAATCAGCTAGCTGTTGTATATAGTCCCAAAACGTTCAGATGAATGCAATTGCTCTGAACAAGACACGTCCTGGAAAGCGATTGTCCATGCATTGTTTTCAAAACCGCTCAAAGTTGAAAACTACAAAGTGCGACTTTTTTATGGTTGGGAAAAAATGCTCATCATTTCTAGAATAGCACCCAGGTTTTTTCAACCCTTGGAAAATAAAGAAGGATAACTCTTCCGCTCGGATCTTTTAATTCAAAAAATTTTATATGCATTTTATATTTTCCATTTATATATATATTTTCAATTTGTTTATTTCACTTTGCTAACATATTAAGATACATTCTTATTGTAGACTTTCATGAAATGTTATCCGTCTGTTTTCAAGAAATAAAGTTTTCCCAGTTTTTTACGCTTATTTTTTGTTGAAAATTAAAAAAATACTAAGACATATTTCTTGTCATTTTTGTTTTTATAAACACTTTATATTAGCAAACGCCTGCCTATAATATTAAGCTTATGAAAAAAGAATTATGCAAGAAAAAAAATCGTTTTTGTATTTCTCATTAAAATAATAAAAAAATTATTAAAATTACACTTTAATATACTGAAAGGTGGGGGTATTTCAAATCCTTCTAATTTGGGTACATAAATATGTAGGAGAAGTTTCGTTTGGTATCCCATACCACCTTAATTTGAAAGTTGTTTTTTTTTTTTTGAAAGATGTGCTTTTGAACTTTTTTCACTGTAGATCCCGATTCTGGTTGGATTATTTGTCCTGTCCCTGATACTCCTTCTGATCTGGTGGTGCTGTAGAAACAGGTAACAGAAATCCATACATAATGTCGCAAAAGCATAAGGTCTTTTTATAGGATCGCTATAATTATTCAAGCAATGTCAAATAACAGTCTTCTTGACCTTTTTTGTTATGTTCATCAACAGTGTGCTTCATTGACATTTTTGTCCCCAGACACCATGGACACTTTCACTGAAAGTGGGTGATATTAATTTGAAATATTTTATAACAACTCCCAGTGGCCTCGAAAAGACCCATATTGATTTTGAGGTCAATGGTTATGGTCAGAAATACATATTACATAAATAATTTTTTGATGATAATTTTAGTTTTTCTGTTAGCTTTTGCAATAAACTTTAGGCCATGAATTTTTCTAACTTTAAAAAGACTCCTATTGACTTTAAGGCGAAAAGCTAGAAGGTCAAGGTTGACTTTTTTTTTCTCCTTCTCCATCTGCATATTTTTCCCAGTTCTTCCACCCTCTTCTTTTTTCCTTAAGCAGGGAATACAAATTCTCTGAATTAGCTGGTTTGTTCTCTGATTAGGAATAGGTACTTATATCAGCCACTGAACACCCATGATGTGGCTCTGTATGACCGGATGTACAACAACCAGAAACAAACAGAAGAAAAAGTTCAAGGTAACAGTCTAATAAATTAATAATCTGATTAACACTTGAAAATTATGCATATCCCATAACTGATCATCCAAATAAGCTAAGATTTTTAGAAATAATTAATGCATAGTCATTTTGCAAGTTTTGTTGGAATTCTTTCAGTTTTGTTTCACTTTTACAAATGTAAGGAGACCAATAGGGGTTTTCATTGCAAAACATTTGTTCAGAATAGGGAAAGATTTAAAGCATATTTAAACTTTTAAAGTAATTTTTTCAACAAAATTTATTAAATTTAACAAAATCAAGAAATCACAGGTAAAAAATCTTAATTACATATTTTTTAAAACTAATTATTTCTTAACAATTTTTCAAGTGATAGGTAGAAGGACATTGTTATAGTGTGTTTGTGACATTAATATGATAATTAAAACTTCTTTAAGAGGTGGTCATAAAAAGTGTTATAAAAGAAAAGGCATAAGCTCTTTTAAAAGATCTTAAAACCCCAATCAGCTCCCTTAATTTATTTCCTGACTCGGCCTTTTTTCCATTTTTTTTTTCTGCAGACATTTATGTCTCTGACTCGGCCTTTTTTCCATTTTTGTTCTGTAGACACAGCCTGGATGAATGCTCAGTACTACCTACGATCTCATTCACAGTTCAACAAACTTGAACAGCTTAATCAACTAGGTAACATCCTCTTGACTTTGAAAGTCAGTGTTTATTTTTGTTAGGAAATGTACTATTGTTTTATTTCTTTTAAACTTAAATCTGTATTGCCTAAGTTGTGTTTGAATTGTCCACCATTATCAAAGTTTGCATAAAATTTGAAAAAAGTGCCAAATATTGAATTTGCAGATTCAACTTCACTTTTCTTTGTTTGCATGATAATTCGTGAAAATTAGATTTTTCTGTATGACTGGCACTTCTTATTTACCTATCTGTGCTCTCTATTATTTGTGAAATAGAAAAGTGCATTTCAAAAATTTCTTTATTAAAAACAGGAAGCAGATCTGAGAAACAATGGTTTCGTGTCAGCGATCAGAGAAGAAAGTCCGAGTGTGTCCTGAACACGCTTCCACGCCCGGATAAATATCTTCTGGAATTTGACATAAAAACCAGAAAAGTGTTGAAAGAGCTGTTTAACCTTTTGAGGGTTAGTAATACATATATCTTCTGATCACTTCAGAAGAGGAAGATGATATTGAAAATCATGTTTTATTTACTAAAAGTTTATTTCTTAATAATTTTGAGAGATTGTCTTGACATGAAAATAAAATTCTACTGAATATTAACAGAGAACTTACTCATTACTGAACAGTTGGAAATAAATATACATGTATTGTGAATAAATAAATGCTACTGTCTTCTGAAAGTAAGGTTACTCAAAATAAAATGAACATGTCATAAGAGGGATGTATTTGTTAAAATCATATCTTATAAATAAATATAATGTTTAACTCTCATATTATGAAAACATTGTTCCTGTAGATTAAATGTAATGATTTACAAAATGTACTCTTTCTACATTATGGGGGAGGGTAACTAGGGGTAAGAAAATAATCCTGTTATAAATGTATCTCTGGTTAGAAGCTGTCTTGTTTATACCTTTGTGTATTGCAGCATCCATACATATTTCCTATGATAGAGTTTGACTTTGTGATCGATCAGAATTTTGTGGTTATTATTCAGCCTGTTTGTAACAAAGGATCACTCAAGGATGTCATATATCAGGTAATGTCTTTAAAGTTTAATATCTAAAAACATCTTGAAGTTCTTAAATACAGTTGAGCTTTGATATCTGGAACTCCAATATCTCAAAGACCATGGATATGTTGAAGTGATTTGAAAGTCCCAACACTATTTCCTTATTGTATTTTAAAGTCAATATCTCAAATCTTCTGATATCTCAAAGTCAATATCTCAAATCTTCTGATATCTCAAAGTCAATATCTCAAATCTTCTTATATCTTAAAGTCAATATCTCAAATCTTCTGATGTCTCAAAGTTTTTTTCTTTGTCCCTTTGAGTTTGAGATAGCAAAGTTTGACTGTAATTTGAAGGGAAAGTCTTGTACAGCTAATTAAAATATTAGAACTATGAATTGTTTTATTTCCTGACAGAATCAAATGTCTTTTTTTTTTATAGAAAAAAATTTAATAAAAAAGGTTTTAAATGTTTCTTTATTCAGTGAGTGATTTAGGAAACACTTGAATAAACAGAGCTTTTCCTTCAGAACTCAACTTAGAGTGAGCTGTCTTTGTCAGCCTGTTAGGTGTCTGTGTAGTATATCTAGAGTACACTGTTCTATTATTTCTTTTTACAGAGTCGTTACTACACATCCTGGCATGATAAATACAAAGTACGAAGTCGCGGTCTAGGTATACAACAGGTAGCAGTGTACGGAAAACAAATTTTACAGGTAGATCCACTAATGGAAGGTTATATAACATTAACATCTTCATTATTCATCATAGTAAAGTACCGTATATACTCGCCTATAAGTCGGATTTTTGGGAGTTAAACTTTGGTCCAAAACTCTATGTCCGACTTATAGGCGAGTTATGAAAAGATTGGTATCTTAGAAGGACAATCCCTCTAAAATAAGCTTCAAAAATACAACCGACTTATAGGCGGACCAACTTATAGGCGAGTATATATGGTATTGAGTTCTATCTCCAGGGAAGCCCCCCTCTCTCTCTTCCTCTCTCTCTCTTTCTCTCTTTCTTTCAATCTCTCCCTCTCTCAATAGGTATTATTTATCAGTAATTTACCTTTATCCTAATACAGGGTCTATTATACATGGAAGAGAAGGAGTTACCTCCCCATGGGCATCTTCACAATGGAAACATTATGTTTGATAATGGGGTCTGCAGGTAGAATAACTCTAAAGATATGTATGTCTTAATCAGAAAACATTTGATAATCAGCAGGTGGACTGCATAACTTCTATTTTCTCTGTATTTTGACAGAATAACAGGGTATGAGAACAGTTTCCTTGGTTTGAAGTCCAAACTTTCCATAATGGCAAGGAAGAAACTAAAGGAACAACCAGAGGCGATTGATGTCCTTTCCTTTGGTAATACTTAGTCTAAATTATGTAGACTATATCAAATAAAATACACATTCACTGTAAAATTAGTACATACATTTACAGGTTGATAAGGAATCCAATAATCTCAAACTATTTTCTTTTATTTAAATGTCCTTATTGTGTGTTACCTTTATAGTTCTCAAGGGGCAACTCAATTTTATGGTATGATATTTTGTATGATTTTACAGGTCATGTGTTTTACGAGATGTGTACAGGGTCAGAGCTTGACTCCGCCCACCCAGAGCCTCGACATCTCAGTGTCATCAACAACGCAGAAATTGTATCGGTAAGGTGTAACATTTAGCTTGATTTATTTCTATGCCGCAGACAATCTGGCATCAATTCCAGGCAATTGACTGCCTGTATATCAAAACTCACACTTAACTTTTCACACAGTAATAAAACTTTGCGAGATTTATTTCATGTTCAAACTTCAATATATTGATAAGGATTTGATTCAGCATTTTGTGTGGTGGATCAAAGGATGTTGATGTGTGTAGATTTGACCCTTTATGAAGAATTATTTATATATTTTGTTTAAAGATATTTGTCAGGTGTCCTCAATTTATAGTTGTGGGAATTTTTGTATATGTTAAGTTTCAATCCTTAAAGTAGAATGCTTTATCCACGTGTAGGCCTATAGGTCTCTCCATTAATTTTTTTCCATCTTAATAATGACGTCGACATTCACCCCAAGCTAGTGGCAGGCAGTAATTATTTACAGTAAACCATAGAAAATAAACCAAAACATAAAGTACCCAAGCTTATTGTGTGGAAAGTTGTTTTTCTTTTATTTATTTGTTTTTTTTCTTTCTTTTGGCTATGAAGTATAAGATATGGAATCTTTCTTGTGTCAGACATTAAAATAACTTAACAGTTATTTATTGATAATTCATCATCCAAATATAAAAATTAAGAAAAACTCATAATATATCTATATTATACTTCTTATGATTAGTTGTAATTACAAGCCTAGAAAGATATCATTTATATTTTAAATCTTTTAATTCTATAATTTATTATTTTGTTTAATAATTAATATTCTTTGAACTCTTAACAAATGTTTAAAAAAAACTTTTCATGAATAGGAATTGATCTAAGAAAACATTTTTTAAAAATGATTTAAACTCTTATTTAATACATATACTATGTTCTAAAAATTTCATTTTTTTTCAATTTATTAAGTAAATGTTCTGCTATCAAATCTTTATTATTAATTGTTGATCAAATTCTCACTTTGAAAATTCAACACATTGAAATAATTATCTATATTTTATCAATAATTACCATCATTGGTCAGCATCTCACTTTTAGAGGTGGTCTGTTACCTATTATTGGTCAATTATTATAAATCATCATGATCTTTTTTCTTTGATCTGTTATCTTTTGTGTATTAATTATGACCCATCACAGACTAGCTTATCACTTTGATCCTAACAGCACAAGGACACCTCACCAAGCATCCCCTTAATGACCCAAGCTAATTGACCTGCTTAATAAAAGGGAGGTGTTAAGACTCTAAATAAACCAATCAGTAATCAGTTTTGGATTCATTAACCAATCATAGAAAAGGATATATACTTTCAGCCAATGAAAATTTAATTAAGCAGTCCAAGCTGATTTCTAGCAGAATTTGGGGGTACAAATAAGCCTGCAGAATTCAGTGTTGACAATTCACCATTGTGATCCAATCTAAGCTATCATAGTGCTAATAAGTGAGATTGCAATCTGATAAATTTAATCAATTGTGCTTTGTGCATCAGTTGAATTAATCCCAGTGTGGTATTATCCTCAGCTTGTTGTGTGTTATATAGTGAAAAAGTTAATGTTTTAGTATTGTTTTGTGAAGTGTTTCAGTGTTGTGTAGTGCTTCAGTGTTGTGTAGTGTTTCAGTGTTGTGTAGTGCTTCATTGTTGTGTAGTGCTTCAGTGTTGTGCAGTGCATTCAGTGTGTCATCATGGCTGCTCGTGCATCTTCCCCAGTCATCGAGATCAACTTCGCCACCACCCTAGAAGACGTCATCAAGGCCACCATCTTTGACGATGCCCCGCCTTCACCGCAGCCTTCCAGCACCTCCATCCAGACCACCCTCAACACCAGTGCAGCTGAGACCAGATTTGATGAGTGCCTGAATTCCCTCATCAGTGATCATCCCACACCAGAGAAATCCGCAGACAACGACCTCCAGCTAGCTCTACAGTGTCTCCATCCTTCAGCACCAGAGAAGATCTGTGACGACAACACCATCTCCTCTACGGAAATCTTCAGTGCCCTCCAGACCATCTTCCGCTATGAAGCCAAGTCATCCACACCATCAGTGCTCATCAAGTCTGTTCAACCAGAGCTGTCTACTTCCCAACGTGAACAACAGCTTCTTCAGAGATTCAACGTCCTTCATCACCATCACCCTCAGCAGATCAACGACTTGTCATCATTCTTCAAGTACCAGAGTGCCCAAGTGGAGACAGACCGCTACTGTGCCCTTCATCAGAACTCCAACCAGCCACATCACATCAGAGAAAGCATCAACCAACACTACAACATCACCCACCATCGCATCATGGACCGTGTGGAGAACAGCCTACAGATCCTGGAGGAGAATCTACCCCAGCCATCACCCATCAACACCAAAACTACCACCACACAGACCAACAGCCAGATCAACAACCTCCGCACCAGACCGTCGCTATCCCAGAAGTCTGTTCAGCTGATGGAGAAGTGGTTCTACAGTCATCTAGAGCATCCCTACCCATCGTCCGACATCATCGAGGAGCTGGCCAGGAGAGGAGGGATCAAGGAGGAGCAGGTCAAGAAGTGGTTCTCCAACAAGAGGAACAGGAGCCGGAGGTCATCAGGGGTCAACAAGAGGAAGGTGTCCAGTGTCAACAAGAGTGTGCCATGCTTCTGGTGATTGTGTTGTAGAAGATTGGTTGTGTCAAAAATAGTGGGTGTAATTCTGATGATTGTGTTCTAGAAGATTGGTTGTGTCTAAAACGGTGGGTCTCCATTCTGGTGATTGTGTTTGTGCATCAGTGAAATTCTCCAAGGGAAAAAGGTGAAGAAGTGGTGGTGAGTATTTAGTGCTCAGTGTTGTGTGAAGTTCTGTATATAATTGATATGTAGTGCTTTATATAGATTTAGTGCTGTGAACTATAAGTGCTATCATGTTTATTTTAATATTGTTTGAGTTTCATTTATACAGTGCTTCTAATTTTATTTATGAATGTTTGAATGTTGTAGAATATATGAATAAATAAAAGATCTAATGAAAAGAGGGTTTTTGTCTTCTTTGTCATGATTAAGAAAGGAAAGAATACACTGTATACATAATATTTTGGTGGTGTATTCTATTTAGCACTTTTGGCAGAAAGCAGCTTCTGCTAAATCAAGTACATTGCTCATAGTCTTGTATACTATATTATATATCATACTAATAAGATTAGTCATATAAAAGAAGTATCCTCAAATACTTCATCTAGTGGAATTACCTGATAACCCTTAGAATGGACTAGCCAAAGGGTATGTAAGGCAAAGCTATGGGAAAGTAAGGCATTCAGAATCTAACCAAAGAAGTTGAGTGATGAATCAGCAATAAAGATCAATAAAATTGAATCCATAACATATGTGTAGGGGATTGAATACACGTATATTTAGACATAATTCCCATTTATTAGTATTAGTATATAAGGATGGGATGTTTCCTAATTTACAACATATATAAGAATATATAGGAATCATCTTGAAAAAGATCTGTTCAATAACAACAAAGCCATGATTAGTCATTATAATAGAAGCATCCTCTGGTTGTGTAGATTCAAATTTGTTCAAATTTATGGTGGTTGGGAAATATAAAATCATTAAAATTATTCTGTTTAAGAACAGCAAAGCAATGATTATTAATATTTGATATGGAAGCATCCTGAGGTAGTGTAAATTAAAGTTTGTTTCCCCCCACCCCCTGTACTGAACTGTTTTCTGCTCTTTCTAGCCAATGTGCTCAGGTGAGCGATGCAGTCCATGGGCCTCTTGTTATTAATCACATTTTGTATAAACATATGTGTAGTATGCTCATTTGATAATTCTGGGGACTTTTGTGAAATCCATGGATGAAATATGTGCAAGAAAAGAATGTTGAACCTTTCAGAATAAAAGAAATTCACTTTTCCTAGTTAATGAAGTAAATTTCAATCCTTAAAGTAGAATTAATTAAGCCCCTGTTTGCCTAATCTTCATGTAGGCCTAGGTTTCACTATTAATTTTTTTTTTTATTTTCTCAATAATGAAGTTTACCCCAAAGCTAATGGAGGCCAGTAATTATTTACAGTAAACCATAGAAATGAAACCAAAAACATATTAAGTACCCAAGCTTATTGTGTGGAAAGTTGTTTTTCTTTAATAATTAATTATTTTTCTTTTTGGCAAAGAAGTATAAGATATGGGATCTTTCTAGTGTCAAACATTAAAATAACTTTACAGTTATTTATTGATATTCATAATCCAAATATAAAATATAAGAAAGAAAAGTCATAATATTATACAATTATTGCTGGTTTTGAGGTCAATAAGATGATTTAGACACCCAAGGAGTACAATATTCACCTAGGTTGAAAGGCGAGGTGAATATTGTACTTCAAATGTGGCTAAATCATCATATTGACCCAAAAAACAACAATAATTGTTTTTATTACATGATTCAATGAATAAATGACACACTCTTTAAGCAACCCAATATATGCCATCTTACTTGTTTGCATTTACTGAAGTACTAGCCAAACATAATGTGAGAAATGAGGTTAAAAAAACATAACCAGTTGTATTATATTAGAATTTTTAATTCTATTTTAGGTGCAATCTAGAAAAAAATAAATGTTAGGCACATATACAGGATTGATTTTGAAAAGGGGTATTATAAGGGGGAAAAAAATTACAACTTACCTGAAAAACAAATCTTTGACTAGCCCCTCCCCCCCCCCCCCCCTCAATGAAAAGAATTCTCCCAACTCAAAATTTTTTTTGGTAGTATGTGAAGTCCATAAATGAGGTGAGGAGGGCTTTCATTGAAAATGTTTACCCTTAAAATTTAAATTAAAAACTACATTCTCAAAAGGTGGGGAGAGAGGCAGGCCTCTTGCAACCCCCCACCCCCACTTACTTACTTAGGCCTGTCGTTCCATAAGGAACATAGACCATCGATGACAGTCCTCCAATGAACTCAATTCTGGGCTGCTTTCACTGCATCCTGCCAGGTCATATCCTGTGCCTTTAGTTCTGACTCTGAGTCACGCC